ATTTTGCTTTTGATTAATGTAATTGTTGTTTGATCATGCCTATAATCACCAACGCTATTTTGAATATAACAGTTTAAAAGCACTACAATCTCTATAACATACCCTAACAAAAGACAGTGTTAAGAGAAATTTTAAAAGATTTAAAAATCGTTTTACATGGCCACACCCTCCTTCAAATGATATTCCAATATCGATAATTATCAAGAGGCAATATATTAAGCATAGTTTGTTTGTATTTCACCTTTGTAATCCCACACACAAAAGACACTTTTGATGAACACGCACATTATATTAAAGTAAAATATTTCACATACCTTCAACCAGAACGAGCATCCACATCATCATCACCATGGGCAACAGTATCATCATGATGGTAGGTACATCCTCCTCCTCCCAAAGATCAACAGATAATGCCTGAATTCGAAATACTTTTTTTTTTTTTTTTTTTTTTTTTTTACCCGAACGAAATTTCCAATTTATCCGATAGTACTTTTAGTGTGATTAATTGATGTGATCAATGTAGTATAGAGCAAATGAAACTCCATTCCTGCATTTGCCAGATTTTGGATCAACTGTAGGTATAGGGCAGTACAGTGGTGTTTCGAGAACGTTGTTACACTGGTAGCCTCGCATGGCGTAGATCCACTGCATGATTTATTTGATTTTTTTTTTCCTGGCCTAAATGACAATAGTCCAGTTTACCCTTGATTAGACATCATTACGGAGGGGAGGCGGAGGACACGTCCAACATTTTTAGGAGTGGGTAGTAATTACGATAACTAAAAGTGTCCTCATTTTGTTATTCATGTTATCACTATAGTATAAGCATAAAAAAAATGACAGAAATTTGACAATTTGAATATATTGAAGGTAAGACTCTTTCTATGTGACATATGAAAATGAGGGGCTTTTAATGGTAAGCCCCTCTTAATGTAATTAATGTAATTATTAAAATCATTAATACAGTATGAAGCTGTGTTGGTTTTTGATTGTTTAACAAGAAAAATAATGGGGATATGGTACACGGGTACATGAAAATAGATAAATAATTGTAGAAACACAGTGAAGTTAGTTGAAATTGATGTTTCGGACAGATATAGAGAAAAGCAGACGTAAGTTTTAAAAAAAGATAGGGATCATCCTGAAATACAAATAAGTTCGAAATTTCAGAGAGGGGAGGGGCATTATCCCCTGTGCCCCCTGGATCCGCCACTGGTAAAATATTCAGTCAAGGTTACTCTACTATATGAAGCATTCACTGGAGTATGGTATATAGCCTGATTTACATCAATTGATAATTAGACTCATGCACTTACTTAAAGAGATAGTTGAGTTCTGTTTTCAGACCGCATATGCCTTCAAAGTGCATACTTGTTGCTCTTATTCTTATCTATGACATTTCTAGTGTCCTTTTTGGACCTTAAATTGCTATGAAGGTAATTTTAGACCCCAAAATGTGTAAAATTTCGCCAATACGATCATACCAATTCAGCTCCACTTTAGAAATAATTCGGTGACCGTTAATAAATTAATTAATTAATAATAACATTACATGGGCCGGCTGGTTGTGCGTAATAACCAACAAGACAAAGCCAACAAATAATCCAACATCGGCATTGGCTGAAATACAACGCAAAAGGCGCTATTTCGTTTTTTCAACGGCTTTTTCAACTTATCGAATATTTGTGGTTAAACACAAATATTAGAAATCTTTACATTTATGGATATTTCAGCCGTCTCTGAACCGATTTTGATCAAACATTGTAAAAATTGTACTTCTTTTCAAATTTGCCACTCATTTTTTCATTATCTCACAAAAAAAAATTTAGTGCAGCGCCCTTTGCAACACAACTTAACTATCCCTTTAAATCCATGACCTCCCTGCTTAGATAATGGACCCATGCCTAGATGCACTTACTTCATACGTGATGATGATAATCTAACGGGTAATGGGTTTCACGCTGGTAATCACAAAATCTGAATGCATTCCTTTGAGTGGTTATCATGGAGCTTTTGAATAAAGATCCTCGGGGGTCATTTCGCGGCTCAAGAAAGTTAGAATCTTGACCAGGGAGGGCCATGTGGTTCAGTCACGTGACTTTTAATCCAAGGGTCGAGGCCCGGCCCCCCACTGTGTGTTATTTAGGGTACGCATATGCGTGTTCCGAGCACCCCCTCCCCCCTTTCAGCATAAGTCCGGTGTGTAAAGTCAATACGGGCAGATCTTTGTCTTTGTTACGAGCCGGCGATTTGGGAACACGCATGCGGTCCCTCCGTTCCCGGAGTGGGGTGGGGGGGGGGGCGGGTTGAGGATTTGATTTTTACCTGACTGCTTAGAAAGCAAAATCTATGTAGGCTTATGCTTGTAGGTAAGAAAACCCGTGGGCCGACAGCATGAAAGGAAACCTCACCCCAAAGAATAAGTGAAGGTATTCTGACAATTTACAAGAGATAAAATGACGATTTGTTTTGGCATGGTGTGATGCCTTTGAGCACGACATGGGCTGAGCCATTTTCTTGAAAATGTTATGTAACAGGTGAAGTTGTACATGTATCATGCACCAAGCTTTAGTTGGAAAGACTTGAAATCAATAACATAACCTTTAATTTTTAATGAGCAAAAATCATGGCTGAGAAGAAAGAAATTATATATTTGGTGGAAAACATATGAGAGGGGAACAATAAATTGTAACATATTAAAATATAGCAGTTGACAAATTATTTCACTTATGAGAAACCTTCACCGCAGAAGAGCACTAACTTATTTATGTAATTGCGTTCTGGCAATAGAAGTACAAAGGATAATAGCAGTTGAATGAAATGCTTCATCACCACACACACCTGGGAAGGAAGCATCGATAAATTTGAATACATTTACTGGATTAACGACTTCACATATAGTATGTCACGTTAACAAGAAAATGGTGATGCCCATGTCGTGCTGAAAAACTATACATTATTCTTGCTTTATGCCTCTCTCATACACTTTGGTGGGGAAAATTGTAGATTAATGGGCAAGAATATAATAAACCTTTCAGAATAAGTAAAATTATTTCTTAGGGTGAGGTTTCCTTTAATTCATTTTCGAACGGGGATTTGATAATGAAGATAAAATGCCTTTTATATACACTCCGGGGCCCGTACGGCGGGTAAAAACAGACATTTTGGGAACTTTTGATCGGTGCCCGGTCGGCTTCCGTACAGTTCCCACGGGCGCCGGGACGTTTTCACCAACTGTAACGGCGCCGTGGTGCTGTGATGGCTGCTTCCACTTCTCCTGGCGTTTTCATTTGACAGTTATGCCGTAGAAGCCCATAACGGGCCCGTGGAGGCTCCGGACGGTGCCCAGACGGCCCCTCATGATTTTTCTGTCAATTTTAAATGGAGGCACTGATGTCAGAGGACACATGATTCAGCGCACCGCACGGTACCAGACCGGGCGCCTTGAGGACCCCGGGAGCCATGGGATACACCTGTTCATCGGACGCAGCCCGTAAGTTTACCGGCCGGCACCCTTACGGGCGCTTTGCATTTTCATTCGAACAACTTTCACCAGGCACCTACCGGGCGCCGCAGAATATGTGACCACACATGCCGTAGAAATGAAAATCGGAAGGGTCTCGAAAGGTCTAACCACGGCAAACTGCCGGGTTAGGGAAAATCGTACGGGGCCCGGCGGCGCATATTTTTTTTTACACAACTGTTTAGCCATTTTCGCGAAAAATGTCCAAGAAGTGCTCTGGTAAAAGAGTCTAAGTCGTCAGCGCACTTATGTGCAAGCACGTACACCCAGGGAAGGGAAGATGATAGAAAGGGGAACACATAGTTGAGAGGATATGGAGAAGGAAAAACAAGAAAATACATAAGGAAAGAGAAGAGGATAAGTCAAAGGAAACACATAGAAATACATAATTGAAGAGCTAAGAGGATCATAGATCTAGACTAAAACAGGGAATACAAGGAGAAAGGGAATCTATCAGATTAAAACAAAGAAATAGATGACTAAGGAGAAAAGGATAGATTGAAGGAGAAACAAAGAAATACATAACGAAGGAGAACTGGGGGGTAGATTGAAGGAAAATCAAAGAAATATAGGTCTATAACGAAGGAGAACTGGGGGGGGGGGTAGATTGAAGGAAAATCAAAGAAATGTAGGTCTATAACGAAGGAGAAAAAAGGATAGATTGAAGAAAAAGAAGAAATACATGACAAAAGAGAAGAGGATAGATTGAACGAGAACACATAAATACATAATGAAAGAGAAGAGAGGATAGATTTAATCCGAAACAAATAACGAGTATGTAGTATGTACACATGTACAGCTCTAGCAATCGAACAAAACTGCTAAGGGTAATGCTAGACTCTATCTCTAGTCGTTTGCACAGTATATTTGACTAAAGTGGCTAAACAGTTGTGTAAAAAAAATATGCGCGGCCCGGCGTATATGTGACCTAGGCATAAGGAGCACTAGCGCATCGACTTGGTTTCGAACCCGGGACCTTCCGGTTACAAGACCACTTCTCTACCACAGGGACATCGCGCCTCAAATAAAAACGAATCAAATCGAATCAAATCAAAGCAACGCCACTTGATTGCTGTTAATTTTTTTTTTTTGAGCCCGCCATCCTTGTCAAGCTTTGCTTATGATTGCGGTCTCCTGCATTTTTCCAACAAAATAGTTCGGATAATACTTTAAATTTATGATAATATGTTATGGAAATATTAAGTTTCGTTATTATATGTACATATATTATGTAAAAAAAAATTTGACATGAAAAAATTATTGTTTGTATATGTTGTATTATACCTAACATTTATTTGTTCTTTGTTATTCAGTTATATTATATTTGGAACAATGCAGAAATCAAATCAAATCAAATTACAAATTTCTCTTAAGATACCATATATCGTAGCTATAGTACTGGCTACATTCAGGAGCGAGGGGCCTCGGCACGCCCTCTTGAAAAAAAAAGTCCCGCATTAAGGGGTTTCATGAATTTTAGGGATGAAAACAACCCTAAAGTTATTGCAAACGTTTAATTACTTCTTCATTTGCCTGTTCAAGGATTAAATAAAAAAGCTTTTTGAATTCATAACTTGCTTACTTTTAATCGGATTTTTCCTTAAACCTTAAATTTGAACCATTGAACCAATGAACGTTCACTGATTTACATTTCATAATTATTTCCTTGCTTTTATTATAATCAAATTAATAAATCATCAGGTTGTAGCTTCCTTTTAACAGTTATTGGGGCCCTCATTCGCACTCCAGAAAGCCGAGCTCGTACTTCATCATTTCATCAGAGCCTCCGGTGTCTCCGAAATGTAACCTGGTGACCGGAAGTCGGTCTACATCAGTGAGATAGCCATCATCCGTTAACCACTTGTCTGAAGAACGGTAACAATTGCAAAGTGCAACTTCGCTGTAGAAGCAAGCTGAACAAGCAAATAAATAAAACTGATAACAAAAATGATAAACAATTGCATGTTATAGTTTTTATGTTTAATGTGGTTGAGCGTTTACCTTTGCCAGATTCATAGCAGTTTTCGTCATCTCGGCAAAAATATGGATGTATGCCTATTTGGGTTAGTTAATAAAACAAATATAGAATAGCCCCTAATCTCCCGGCATAATGTGGCCGTACACCCATTGTCTAAGTTAATAAAAGAAGTAGAGAACGGATATGAATATTCGGGCATAACGCGACACCCCCCCCCCCCCCGGTAGAAATGTGCCCTTACGCCTAAGAAGTCTGTGGAAGGAGAGAAGTTGTTTCAGAGTGGGCACTAAAACGTAAATTTTCTTCATCATCGTAAAGATGTATCCTAATAGTCATATCTCGAGAACAAAATAATCATAACATGATAATCATCATAATCATAGTACAAGCACACACAAAATGAATGAAATATAACTCATGGATTCCGTCCAAGGGTTTTATTACCTGAACGGATTATCTTCAACTACATCACATTGAAGAGAAGAATATCACAAAGAGAAAGAAATGAAATTATAATGGATTCCTCTCAAGCGTTTCTTCGGCTGAAAATGAAACTGTCAAGTTGTTTCTCAGGCGTTTCGTTCTGTTTTATAAGCTTTGGCTTGGTGACGAATTATTTCTACATCTGTAAAGAGCTTTATCTGATGAACTTCTTAATCTTATTCAATTAACAACTGAATTTACACACGATATTACTTTCAGTCTAAATGGGTTTCTCAATTGTTGTATGCATTATGAATGTGGAGCCAGAACAAAACAGGGGCATATCAAGGATCGGACGGAGACGGCGTTGACGCCCTTCCTTGTTCATGAGACCCAGGTACACCCCCCCCCCCCCCGCCCCACCTATGAAAACGTTTTCGATACGGCATGACTCACGTTCGGAAAGAAAAGATACAAAAATTCACAAAGGCCTGTTGCTACACGTTGGGAGGGGAATGAATACTAGACATAGCATTCTTGAATCAGAATACAATAAAAACTTACTGTTGCTTAAGCCGCAGAGACACCCTGTAACATCACTGGGTGCGTTGCCCCAGTTTGGCATCTTGATGCCCTGTCTTGAGACCCAGTAAGCTGTTTGCTCGCCACCATCATCGTAGATATGAGTATTGTAACAGGTTGCTCTGACATACTGTCTGCAGCTTTTGGAGTCCATCATAATCGCAACAATGGTATCCATGGGTAGGGTGTATGCGACATCTACTGGGTAAGAACCGTGCCCCTCAAAACCTTGGGGAACAGTTTGTTCACCAGTAACGTTGTGAGCTATGATGGTTTTGCCTCAGGGACGTTAAAGGAAGAAAAAAAGTAGTACAGGTAAACGAATTGAAGAAAAAAAGTAAATGTATACAGAAAAATCTGGTTCATTGAGTGTCCTTCCATATAAAAGGCCATCTCTTATATAAATATACTACATCTTTTTGTTGCTTCTCTCTATTCTATCCCATTGAAATGTGATCTGTAGAAAGACCAATGCTTACGAATACCGCATTTGTTGTTTCAACTATGATATAGAAGTGTCAGCAAACTGATGATGATGACTGACTAACTTGAACTAGCCATAGATGGGGTGTAGCATTTATTACAATAGTGTATCTTTATATATAAAGGGACACTGCCTTGCAATGGAGTACCACAGAAAAGTACTGTGTGGACTGTGGAGTAACGTAATTTTTTAATCTTCGACAAATTATGATGCGAACGTCATCGGTATTTCAATTCGTTTCTTTCTTTCCCCCTTTTTTTTAATGTTTTATTTATTTTCTTTATTCTTTCATATTTCTTGTTTTGTTGTATGTTTTTTTTTCCACGTATTTCTATTCAAATGCGATGATCACCTATGTGGTGTCCATATAACAGAAACAAAAATTAAAATAATTTTCTTTCAGAAAAATTGGACGACCATGTCGTAACTCTTTTTCGCAGGGAAATCTAGCCTGCATCTACAAAACAATGACTTCAACAAAGTAAATATTGGGAAAACTGGTATAAAGTTCTGATGTCTTGTGAATTTTTGTATTATCTTCCTAATCAATACGTCACTTACAAACACATAGATTACACAAATGTATAACCCTCTAATGAATAGCCCTTCATAAAGTTACTTATTATACCTGCTGTGTTTCTCGAATTGACGTAAAAGAAAATGGAAATATTTCTCCTCTCCTTCATCAACTTCGATGATGCACAATGCGTAGTTAATATCATACGATAAAGAAACGGCGGTCGCACTCCTTTCCCACCAACTCATTCTTAGTATATAAAAGAAATATTCTTGCTGATATACTTGGATCGACATTGGCTGGTATATACTTGCCCCTCCCCCTCCCCACAAAAAAAAATAATGGTATGGATACGCCATTGTCAAGATACATATTTTAACAGGACTACACAGTGTCATTTTCTTTTGTTTTAGTTGTTGGCATGCCGGATAACCATTAATTTGAGTTGCAAGGCGTGCATAATTACCATTTAGACATTCAACTTCCACTGGATCAGAAAGGTTTCCATTCGGGCCATCTGGATCAATGAGATAGGTCCCGTTACCTATGTTCAGTTCTGAGCATGTTTGTGGAGTACCTGTGTGAAAATATTAGTGTGTATACACATGTATGTCTTTGTGTATATAACCATATAAGTGTAGTACTAGAAGTATTAGTAGTAGTATATTAGTAGTAGTATAGTATAGTAGTAGTAGCAGAAGTAGTAGCAATATATTTAGAAGTAGTATTATAGTAGTAGTAATAGTAGTAGTAGTAGTAGTAGTAGTAGTAGTAGTAGTAGTAGTAGTAGTCGTAGCATTAGTAGAAGTAGTACCAGTACATTTAGTAGTAGTCAGCAATAATAGCAGGAGGAAGCGGCGGCTGAGGAGGAGGAGGAAGAGGAGGAGAAGGGAGAGGGGGAGCAGGAGGAGCAGCAGCAGTAGTAGTGGTAGAAGTACGTTGTATTCATGCACCGAGTAGAAGCACTTTTCCCTTTTTGTTTTCTTTATTTTTTAATATATTCACAATATAATATCATCACATTCGGATGGGAGGTTGCAGCAACATCAGCTGATGTTTCTGATTTTCCTCTACGCGGTACAAGTTGTATAATGATTTTAAAAAATTGCAGTAGGTTAGTTGTATATAGGGTGCGAGAACGAATATTGTTAAGTCTAGTGCAACTGTATCTATATCCCCACTTCGCATGTCCATCAAAACTACCAACAGGTACCTGAAATACAAAACCAAAGGCAGAATAGTTTTCAACAAAGTATCAAATATGTGAATATATTGCGCGTTGTTGCATAAAGTCTTCCACAACTTATCCCACATTTCTTGGTGCACCTGTCCATCTTGAATAATCACCTCTGGATCCAATGAATCTATTTACCTTCCGAAGGATCGTCAGAAACTCCATCAGGGCACATACACTCATAGCTATGGTCTGTCTCCACGCATGTACATTCATTTTCACAAGGCGAACTTAGGCAACCTATAGATGCAAGAGTGAGAACATATTAATTCGAATATCAAAGAAGCATTTAAAGAAAGAAGTCATTCAATGCTCGAGTAAAACATATAACCCACTGTTTCCAATAATGTTGTCATAGTCAAGGGTTCAGCAGCTGTCGTTTTTAATATTTTTTCCCTTTTAAATTCCTTCCTATATCCGCCCATACAGTCAGACAATTAAACTGTCGCGTTAATTCATGTTTTTCTGTATGTAATTTTTTCCAGGTCATGTCGCACATTTCCAAATGCAAACCAATATAGACATATTAAATAATCTTCATGCAGTGTTATGATATCTGATTTTCATATGAAGTTATGGTAAGCCTATCTATATGTAAATTGTGCATGAGCAATGCAAAAATCCATTATACAATTAAACTGAAATTGGAATTGAATCGAAATTGAATAGAGAGAAGAAAAAAAATGGTAAATACAATTAAATAATAAAAAAAAATATCCTTTGTACGTATGTATAGTAGACGGATACTGGAAACATATCAAATAAAAGCAGATGCTAAGTCCCAGTCAGCGGGTATCGAAAAGGATAACAGTGTGCTGACTGGGTGTATAGTTGATTAGTTATGGTTTGACTAAACAACCCTTTCTTCGGGTGGGGGGGGGGGGAGGAGTATCAATATACAAAATGTAAAAATAATACTGGTGACTTTTTCAATATTACTCGTGGGGTTCGATTTTTCAACCAAGTGTCTTTGACATCAATTTCCGAAACAAGGAAATACGCAAGAAACATTATTCTCACTGTTTAGAATTAATATGAGTTTTCAAAATTAGTTTTAAGAGTGATCACGGATTACACTATTCAGTCACTTTAATTCATACAAAAAATGTTAAATAGTAAGGTTCGTGCTTGTACATGTTATAGTCAGGCCTGGTTAAAGTAATCTTTAACATACCTATTTCACTTCAATCTCTGCATTGTTTGTAATAGGTTAACCATAAAATTTTGATTCATTTCCAAATCAATATGGGTTTGGGACAGTATATTTTCTCCATTGATGGACTTGATTGACATTATGAATGTATTAATATTTTCATTGATTTATCCAAAGCAAATATTGATAGGCTTACTACCCCTCCAAAAAATTGGAATCTCACGAATGATCGATTATATCTATCGTCATGTCATAACCTTTTCATAGCATAATAATTGTTGTTTCTTATCATTAGAAGGTTTATTCCTTTGTAAAATAATAACCCACTTGTTTCGATTTTCAGTCATGGAAAGTGCAGTAGATCAAGATAAGGAGCACGGTCAGAAGTGAAAAGTTGCAATACGCACTGCTCTTGTTCGACTGTGCATTCAAATTGCCCTATATACGCTTCAGAAAGTTGATGCCCAAACAGTAGCGAATCTTGCTTGACATGTCACCATAGTGCATGCATTTGAATTTCAGATTTTTTAGAATTTGGCACTTTTTATCATGTTTTCTTCAATTTAATCATTCCCCTGTGCTCTTTTATTTTACTCATACTTTCAGTCCTTACTATATATGATTTATGGGTGCTTAAATTTTGTTTCCCTTTAAACTTTGTACACACATATCCAGATTCTTTTGCCTTCTTTACTATATTGATTTCTCTGGATATAATTTTGTTTACTCCAACAGAATACAAAAGAAGGGTGGGGGTGTTGCTATGTTAGTAAGAGATTGCTTCGAGTTCAAGACCAGAGATGACTTAAAAATGTGCAATGATAACATCGAATCCATTTTTATTGAGATAAATATATCTGAAAGAAAAAATATTATAGTTGGAACCATATATCGTCCACCTGCTTCCAATATTCCCTGATTCCTTGAAGAAATCGAGGCACTTCTCATTAAGATTAGTAAAGAAAATAAAAGCATATATTTAATGGGTGATTTTAATATAAACTTACATAATTCACAAAATATTCATGTTTCTGACTTCTTGAGTATTCTCCACTCTAATAGTCTATATCCTTTGATAGACAAACCCACCAGAATAACATCGAAATCAATGTCATTGATCGACAACATATTCACAAACGTTATCGATGATATTCATTCTGGAGTTCTATATTGTGATATTACAGACCATTTTCCAATTTTTCAAATTAACTACAAATTAAAGGTTTCTATTCCTATCTTAAATGTTCGTACACGGCATTTTACGGAGGCAAACATTGCACAATTTTGCATTGGTCTACATTTATATGATTGGACGTGTGTTTATAGATCCACAAATGTCGAACAGGCATATAATATATTTATAGATATCTATTCTGAATTGTATGATAAACACTTTACCCTCAAGGAGAAAAGTAGGAAGAAAAAATCAATTCGAAAACGGTTACCGTGGATAAATAATTTTCTTTTCTCTTGTATCAATCGGAGAAATAAGTTATATAAGCAATTGAAGTTGAAATTTTCTTCAGATTTGAGTAGGAAGTATAAATCTTATCGAAATAAAGTTACTTTTCTTCTAAGACAAGCACGAACAAAATACTATGGTGATATGCTTAAATACAACTCTAATAACCTGAAGAAAACCTGGGGCATTATCAATGGTATTTTAAATAGAAAAGCTAAAGTCCTGCCGAATCATTTCAAAGTCAACGGTGTGATAGTAGACAATGAGTGCGAAATATCCGAACTGTTCAATAGAATGTTTAATGACGTTGGAACCAAAACAGCTGCCCAGATTCCTCGCTCTTATAAACACCATTTGGATTACATGAACGCATCAAATCCAAATTCGTTATTTTTGTGCCCTACATCTGAAAACGAAATTATAAATATTTTTAGGAATTTAAAGAATACAAATAGCACTGGAGTTGATGATGTTAGTCAAAATATAGCAAAGAAATCTATTCACGCTATAGCCCGTCCGTTGATGCACATTATGAATTTATCAATTTCGACTGGAAAATTTCCAAACCGGCTTAAAACTGCAAAAATTGTTCCTGTACCAAAAACAGGGGATCCTTATGATATATGCAACCATCGTCCAATTTCTTTACTTCCTTGTTTTTCAAAGTTACTAGAAAAATTAGTTTACGTTCGTCTATACAAATTTCTTGAACATAACAATATTTTATACATGCATCAATATGGCTTTCGGCCAAACCATTCAACTGATCATGCTCTTATTGATTTTAATGATACAGTATGTAACGCATTGCACTCAAATAAGTTTGTTATCGGTATATTTTTAGACCTGTCGAAAGCTTTCGATGTAATGGATCACGACATATTACTTTCTAAGTTATCTAGATATGGTATTCGTGGTATACCCTATTTATGGTTTAAAGATTATTTAACAAACAGAAATCAATGTACAATGTATAAAACTCATATTTCTAAAAAACTTTTGATCAAAACAGGTATTCCTCAAGGATCAATTCTAGGTCCTCTATTGTTCCTATTATATGTTAATGATTTATATTGTGTTTCAAAATTGTTTCACTTTATTCAATACGCAGATGATACTTGTTTGATTGCCTCAAATTATAATCAGAATGACTTAATATGTCAAACAAATACAGAACTTATCAAGGTTGTTGAATGGTTAAGAACAAACAAGCTATGTCTCAATGTTAAAAAAACTAAATGTATATATTTTTGTTTGAACAATTCACGGAGTATCGCTTTACCCAAAGTACAATTGGACGGAGAGTTGATTGATTTCGTCGACTGTCATAATTTCCTTGGTATACATGTTGATTGTTATCTAAAATGGGATTTTCATGTCAGACATGTCTGTAATAAAATAAGTAAAACCATTGGAATTTTATATAAATTGAAATATACAGTACCCCCACATATATTAATTCTATTATACAATACTCTTATCTTGCCGTATCTCATGTATGGTAATATTGTATGGGGTTCAGCGTGTAAAACCAGATTAGTAAGTATTTTTAAGAAACAGAAACAAGCTATTCGAATTTGTACTCTTTCGCATTATCTTGCCCATTCTAGTCCTATTTTTCATTCGTTAAATCTTTTAAACATTTTTGAAATATATAAATATCTTGTTGGTATTTTCATGTATCGATATATAAACAATACTCTTCCACTTTCGTTTCATGATATGTTTCAGCTAAATTCAGATATTCATTCACATTTTACCCGCAATTCAATGAAATTTCGACTGCCAAAACCTCAAAATTCGTTAGATATAAGATCCATTCGGTATACTGGTCCCAAAATTTTAAACGAAATTGAAAATTGTATTTCCGATGCAACCACACTCAATGTATTCAAACGTAAACTTAACCAGCATTTCGTTAACAGTTACAATACTTGATGTACTCCAACAATGATTTTCAAAAGATTGTTTACGTTACATTTCGGTTAGTAGTTAGTTAGTTTGTGAGTGAGGGTGTGTCTGTGTGTGTGTGTGTGTGTGTGTGTTTGTGTGTCGGCGCATTTTTGTGTGTGACTATTGTGTTTTGTGGCTGGGTGAATTATTTTGCAATTATAAATGTATTATTTAACTTTGTTCAGGTGCCTTCTATTGTACAAGCCCCGTGCTTTTTTTGAAGGTATCCTTTCATCTATTGTTATTATTGTTATGCATCGTCAAATATTGTCAATATTTGTTATAATTTTTATGGATGATGAATAAATAAATTGAATTGAAATTGATTGTATTTGATTTGCCGAGAAGAAAATATTTTGAAATCTGAATCTGAAATTTAAATCTTTCAAAACTAAAATGGAAATAATTGTAAAGTGCTTTACGATAGTAGACTCACGGTTCTACTTAATCTGCGAGCGGGAGAAGGGTGCTTTATCTTATACACAACCATCAAAAGAGTATTACATTTACATCTCATTGAGATGTTGAGCTTTGGAACATTCCCTAATTGCTCAATTTTAAGGCGAATAACACTAGAATAATTCCCGTTGCACTCGAGATTTTGTTCGATTGTGTGCTAACTGCCCTTCTTTATGCACACAATAATATTTAATTCACATGTCACGTAAAAAAACCCGCCTCATGTGCAACGGCGTTATACTTCCAGGCGCTCCCCTGAAGTTCTAAAACAGTTTTTAATTTCATGCATAACATGTCATATCGATGTCCTGGTAAAAATGAGCTTACCTGGTATTGTACAGATCTTGGGTGATGTTGGGCATTCGAAATGTTCGAAATTGCCATGGTTACGGCCCGTCATTTGGCGGGAACCCCATTTGATGACAAGTTGGATCGTCTGCCCTGATGTCGTGGGTAAACTCCTACATGATATCAGTTGAACGTTGTCTGAATTCGTACCGACTGATTCACCTGCGTTCGCGTAAATAATCAATCAAAGCAAGAAAAACAATAAAAAGAGGGCACACGCAAAATAAAATAATAAGATGAAATAAAATAAGCTCACGCACGCCAGCTATTCTCCACTCCTGACGACGGATAGTCAACCTGTTCGAAACTTCGAGCCACTCCCGCCAACCATCTTCTCCAATCGGCACTATAGTTCTCCTTAGAACTATAAGCTAAGAAAGATAACCAACAATCTTTTTTCAAGACTACATCAACAGTCCTTTTCAGGACTACATACCCTCAAGAAAGATTACCGAGAGTCTTTTTCAGGACTCCTCAATCCTCCATCTCTCTCTCTCTCTCTCACATGGTGCACCCGCAAGCCTACTGTATAAGATGAAAATTATAGTGTTTGTCTTTAGATTTATTGGTTTTGGAGAGTATGGTGACTAAATTTCGAAAAGAAAAATGTGGTTCACTAAAGGAATTCCTACAGGTGAAAATTTTAATTCGCAATCATATTTTTGTATTCATTATTTTGTTACGTTATTCTTTTTTCCTCCTCTTGGTACCCTTCTCCTCCTCTTCCTACTCATCTTCCTCCCCCTCCTCCTCCTTCTCCTACTCTCCTCTCCTCCTCCTTCTCCTCCTCATCCTACTCTTTATCCTCTCCATCCCCTTCCCTCTCCCCCTCCTCCTCTTCCTCCTCCTTCTTCTTCTCTTACGACGGCATACACAAAATATATAACAAATCATGAATTCACATACCTGCAGCCAGAAATGGCATTCACAATATCATAAAGTTAACATTTAAAAGAATTATTGTGAACAGGATCGAGACAGTCACAATGAAATTTCGTAAGATTGAAATGATATCCAACAGTCAATTTGATTGAGAAATGAGAAAATATAATGTTATTGGTTAAAAGTGTGATATTCAGTAAAAAAAAAAAAAAGGACAACAATGAAGAAAACCCACAACTAGCATCTACCATAGTTTGTATTTATGGAAATTGTATTAAAAATCATTTTGATCAAGGAAATAACTTGATATTCATTCAAATATATATATTACTGCAATATGACAACAGAGAAGAAAAAATCATGCATTCACATACCTGCAGATAGAATTAGCATCCACGAAATTATCAACATAAACTCCATTATCAGAGATCGACTCTTCCTCCTTCGGAGATATACACCAACTATAGGGCTTAATCAAAACACCACTTCGCTTTATTGTTGCATGCAAGGTCAACAAATGAATATCATAAACAAAGAGCTGAATTGCTCGATACTCTGCATTTATCCGCATTATGCATTCCAAATCCCAGTATTGATTACACTACATTATGAACAGAAGGAGAACAAAGTAAAAAGGCATCTTTTTTTCCTCGTTAATATTGGGCGACTTATCGATTTATACTCGGTTGTTACTATACATTTGCAAAAATGGTCGTATTCACATTTAGAACCAATATGTTTGTTTGTTTGGGTTTTTTCTTCAAAATTATAAAAACTGGAATGATCAATTCATAAATAAACCACTACTTTAAACAAACAGAACTTTGTCATTCCTTGCTCATTTTTCCTGATTGAGGTGTCAGATTAAAGGGCAGAAACTCAACTTTCTAGAAATGTGATTGTGTCTTTGAAATTCAGATACCGTCCGCCAAATGACTTTTGGTTTCCTCTCTTCAAATTCATTTTAATCACCCATACGTGAAATATGCATCATATTAGTTGCATCAAATGAAAGAAGAGGATCTAAGCTTTCCAAATATGTGTCATTTGTTAATTATAAATGTGGCTAAGTTATGATAAACCATCGATAATTCTCGGTTTCGTTTTTTTCTGGGACGCACTATATAACAACTGGACATATTGTGCGATTAAGATTTGGATGAAGAAAAAAAAACTGTTTGGAATATCTGATACACTAGGATATTTTTCGCACTAAAACCGTTGATAGTCAATTCATTAAACATAAACCGGCCCGACCGGCAAATTTAGTCCTCTTGTTTAAACGATGATTTAAGTCCGTCACCTATTTGCCAAACTGGACCGTATCTGACGGGACACCAGTTTGGTGGTTTCGCTCTCATGCAGCTTGACATATAGTTCGTTTCCATAGCAACATTATGCCATATCATTGACAGCTCCTGTAACCTTCATGACACCAACACTTGGATAACCCCTTTTCTTCAGGTAAGTTTTAGGTACATGATGACATTCCGTATCGCGAAGTTAACTTCTATCTTTTAACATGCAGTGAGATTTCTCACTGTTGTGGCATCTCCATGGATGCTTGTGGTTTAGTTCGTGGTTCTGCAAGCTGTAATCTGTGGGAAATGGCACTTCAAGGCCGTTGATGTTACAGATTCTAACCACCAAGCTGAAAATAAATCGATGGATCAACTACTTCTAAAGGTAAATGTCTATTACGGTAAGAACCGAATCTTTAATTGTGGAAACTTTGCTTTATCAACAGGAACACAATAATCTGTCCGGTAATTTTGGTAAGTGTAGGCCGTTGACTTGTTGTCTAGGTAATCTACAAGAGAAGGGAACCCGGAGTGAGCCGATTTTTAAGAAACTCCTAAGACGAGGTTTCAAGTATTCCAAGACATCCATTAGCTTATAAATTAGGGTTCAGCCTAAAACCATTATCTAGAATCCAAAACAATGATTTCAGACATGCATCTGACTATGTTATACCCTCTGTCATTTTAATGTCTTTCAAAGTTTTATCGCGTCCAATTTATCCAGACGGTTATAAGAAATAAACTTGGCTTAATCACATTTAACTGCCTGCGATTAAGGCCAGTCTATTACGTGGAAAAGGGGGGTTCTTTTTGTTTAACAATCTTTCATTTCACTTGAATGAAACGCGCTTTTCCATCAAAATAAAGAAATATAGCATAGGCCTGTCTCTCGAATGCTCATCAATTCTGTTGGTTCTACTTTTGAACCACAAAAAGTACAATATCGACCCGACGTTAAGGGCCCTCATGCCGAGGTTTCATTTCGTGGCATCCGTGATGGGCACAATAGAAGGAGGGTTTTATAGACTGCTCACCAGGCATATCGAGACATAATGGGGCACTCTGGTGAATCTTCCATTGTATCCTCGCCCCACTCAACCGATCTGCACTAACTATAGAAGCCCATTTAGATCACTGCTAGCTACCAACAACGATACAGGTGGGTGTTATGTAGATCTGTGTAAAACTCTTGATAGTATAATCCAGTATACACAGGCAAGGTATAACGTGGACCATGATAAAGGTGTATAATTTAGGTTCAGTCTTGATTAGGAGGAGACAACGATATTTTGGAGATAAAGCCTTTAGCGCCAAAGGCCTATATAGCTCGAAAAGTAAGTACATACAAATATAATCATTTAAGTAAACATTGCAAACAGTAGTGAATTAGTGAGTATAATACTATATGTACAATTAATTATGACATGAAGATTGAGTTTGTGATATTAGAAGTGTAACATTGATTTGTTCTATATCACTACAGTCAACTCAAACGTACTGAAAATCACCGTATATTATATGTTATAATCCTATAATTATGTAATTTTGTAAGAATATTTTGAATGGAAGTTTGCTGCCATGTTGCCAGTTATGAGCCACAGCATATACTCTCTAATAAACTAATTTTCCCAAATAAATTCCGTGTTGCATCTTCAATCGTAAAATCTGTTCAACTTTAGTTTGTATAGAGGAGAAGTGTCTTTAAATAGTATGAGTATTATCATATATCGTACTAAGTAATTCGTATACAACACTTTACGTATATATCGGGCTTTTGAAAATGTGTGTTTGTTTTCATATCTTACCCATTTTTGTTTAACAATTCAAACTGTAAGTTAGATACTGTTTATGAAATGTAATATGATTTAACTACCTTCACCTTTAACATAAAAACACAATATCTTATGCAACTTTCTTTTAGAATGTACCGAAAACGTTAATTTTGTCTTTTATCGTTATTTTTATTTCATTATTTTCGGCTCGGATGTGTAAAATAATAAATGCAATAAAAACATTTTGTCTCGATACATTTTTTTGGGACACCGTCCACACACGAGATGAACTACAAGCCAATCTCCGACACGTTTAGAGACTTATATTATATAGATGAAAATTGCATCAAAAATACTGGGCATGTTTCCAATAATGTTACTATGAATAATGTCAGAACATGTCATGAGCAGTTCAAATTTTATTGAATTCCCAATTGATATCATGACTCATGCAGGTTGAAATATATTATGATCTCTGATATCAAAATTTAATTTAAAAAAAGAAAACATTAAATATAAAATATTTAATGTTTTATTTTAAGAAATTGTTTTGCTTTGTGTTGTTTTAATTTACATTTTTGTATTAGAAATGTAGCGCGATTGTGCCATTAATCAAAATTAAGGTGATTTATATGCATGTAGATAACCCTAAAGCTGTAATCAATATACTAATCTTTGTACTTTGATATCTTTTTTCAGATTTCAAGCAGATCATGTGAACAAGATGAACATTCATAAAGCACAACAAAACAGACTGCATTAATAAAAGTGACAATACATGCACCCTATACGATTGAACAAGCTGCTCATTTCAAGAAGACAAAATAATTCAGATGGGATTGCAACAAAGCAGGAAAAGTTGATGGTTATCTGGTCATGTTGCTGAGACAGATTTTACGTTTTTGGAATACTTCAGGTTCTACAGAGAAGAAGCTGTAACACAATGGCACATGATGGTCGCGATGTCACCGCCACTTCCAAACCGAGAGGTAAATTAGAATGAATATGCAAATGTCATTTATCATGTTGTTAAACTAAATGCTGTTATACCGGTAATAAAATTGTTTTTGTGAACAGGGGTGTCGCTCGAAAATTTCAAGTTGGACCGAAATCCATTAAAACACTACCCTGACAGTTACTAATTTACAAACTTATTATTTTCGTTTTGTTTGTCCGATTTCCCTTAAAATTTTACCAAATAATGAAGGTTGTTTTCCAAATGCATGTGTCCTTGGGCAATATCAGACTTATTGAGAAACCTTTTTTGACAGGGATGTCTGCAACATTGTGACGTTCAGTTTCACATTGCTTTGTAATTATGAAGACAATTTTTGTTTAAAATTGGTAACTTATCATGACTGTATAGCAACAGATATATTCTCATATATATTTATGACTAAGCAAATTAATTAACAGTACAGCTGGGCGTACTTCTTGGCTAACTATAAAATAGCATCGTGATTCCGAGAAGACTGTATGTGGGGTGCAGACTATTAGAATGCTATTGTAAATCACTCTCTCTTGTGCCGGACCAATCAATACCTCCACAAGCAATAGAGGGTGGTAAAAGACAATAATCAATAAAGCAAATTCGCTACCCAGGATCTTAAAACAACAAACACTACAAATTGAGCGGATGTTACATTCACAATGAGTTTGGTACCTGACTGGTCTGTTAATACAACTGGGTATATTCATAGCGAGCAATTACGCAAGTAATTATGTAGGCCAATATGTAATTTTCGAATATGATTGCAAAAACGTCTACTACAGACTCATCTCTATTATTTTGTTTGATAAAGAAAAAGTGTCATTAACCTTATATAAAGTAACAAAAAAGAAAGAAGAAAAAACACAGTTTCACTGCATGTGATGTGCTTCTTTTTCACTTCAGCTTGACCAGACATAATTGAATATTCTGTAGAGCCTACTTTTATTTATTTACAACCTTAACAATTCTATTTAATCCTCCTACAACGACTTCTTCCACATCTTTCTCAAATTAGACAGAACAAAAAAGGGTCCTTATCCGGGCGTTACATAACTGGAGATGAAGATTTGGAGGGGATTTATCAACTTTTCTAAAAGCGAATAAAGTGACGAATATAATAAGATTTTCTTCCTCTTTTGAAACTGAAATAGAATAATGACTATATACAAAGAGCCATAGAGGCTTTCGTTTATTCAAAGATTCTTAGGAAAGTCACACAGTGCCGTTTCTAGCGGAAAGTGGTCGGTGACATCTCCGCTCTTCCCGTTCAAAATTTCTGTCGACAAATATAATTTGATTTGTTTGAGTCTGAGGTATTTGTCGGCAAATGTTATTATCTGTTTACTTCTCTCTCTGTCTTTTTTGGGGGGTAAATCTTGCTTCAGTGTCGGGAAATTGTTAGTAAATTTGATCAAACACCCCGGCCCGTTGATATTGACTTCACTATAATACTGTTAAAGTTTTTAGTGGTAGTGATGAATTAAGTATATATACGCAATATCTATATATTTATGGTTCATAGTGCAACCTGAACATTTCTTCAAAGGCAACATAATTATATGACATAGCACATATCATTTATAAGAGAAGAAGAAGAAGAAGAAAGTTGAAAGTTCGCCTGTGTCGTAGGCGATTGGTACCTGCCGGCCGCAAAATATTGCAGGTGAGACAATCCGCTATTAGTCTTGTCACCTTTCTCGATGATGTTTGTTGAATAAACAAAATACAGCCGATGGTTTCTTTGAATGATGACACGAAAAAAGTGTGTTTGCTCAATTCATTAAGTCAGTCAAGAAAGGGTAGTTCGATTGATTTCTCTTAACACCAGGTTTATTCCTAAAAAGGAGTTCATGCACGAATGGACAGAGAGATGACGTAAGCGCGGTATAAAGCCCATTTCTTTATCCAAACTTGGATATTTTTTTTCAGGTGTGGACGGGGGTGCGAACCCCAGTTTGGCATTATTAAGTACAGATTAAGAACACAAGAAATTGTGGCCACAGGTAGCAATGTATAGAAGAAAATTAAATTATTTTTGTTTGGGAGAAACATTTTCGGCCTTGCGCCGTCCTTCCCCGGTCACCTGTAACTCTGGACCCGATTATGCATTCAGTACCATGACCTAAAGTTTTAAGAATATTAAGAAGCAGGAAATTATAAGTGACATTTGAAGAAAGATTATGATTATGATACACAAAAACAAAAATTAAAATGATGGAGAAAGTAGAACAAGCGTATATAGAACAGTATTCTTAAATGAAAAAGAAAAAATAAGGACGTACACAACATATTAGACTAAATTTGAGATACACTGTAACTAAAAAAAAAAACTTGTGAGTCCTTCGAATAGACTCGATATTTGTCGATAAAATTCATTGACATCCGTTCGCGAGAAAACTAATTTGTTCTTCAGTCATCGCGTGGTCTATAACAAACAATCATGTTGAGTTGGTAGCGAGGGGAGTATGCTATCTAGCGTGGCAATATTAATTGTTTACGCGTTGACGTCATACTTTTAGTACTGTGATGATAGAATTGTATCGTCTTCTAAAAAGGATCTATGGCGATTTACTTATACGTTTATATCTTATATTATATCCGTAAATATGGCCAATATGCGGGATTATGACTGATTCTGTACAAAATCGAGAATTATAGATATCATGGAACATTTAATGACCAAACGACAATGATTTTGCCTCAATCTTTAAATGTTTTCATAAAAATGTCCCATAAAATCGTCATAATTTTCGCATTTAAAGCAGGGGCTAAATTTTACGAATATTAGGTCCAAACTATACTGCATTGAAGAAATTGTCTGTCTAGCGTACTTGCCAACGTCTCTTTTGTCTTTAAATGGTCAATGATCAATCTATAGTCAATATAAACATTCCTCAATAGTCGAGGTAATATTGTGATTGGGATAAAAGAATAACCTCAAATCACGGATCGATTTGCGTTGGCATTGGAACAAAAATCGACCCCCAAAGTGGGTCATTATAGAATGCATTTTCATGGTGATTGAACTCATCTTGCCTTGCATTCATAACTGTCACACGTAGGCCACACAGTATACCCCATACTGAGATTTGATGGGTCCAATGTCTCGGTCTCACAGTCACGATTTATTAAAAACAACCTGTCATTGGAGAGCAGATTCTTCATGTTTATTCAATATTTTAGTTTGAACTGAGTGATCCGTTGGAATGTTTTAATTGATAAAAATGCAATTACGAGTCATGATAGGCCTATTTTGTTTTTTGTATACATCATATTTGCTATATAGATGCTATTATTACGTATATTAGGTCGAACATTCAAATGGATACGGTCTCTCTCTCTCTCTCTCTCTGTCAAGTTAACGCTTTGAGGACATTGTATCATACATTATTATATATGGCTGACAATTTCCATTTCACTGATGATGATGATTACGACAATGATAATGATTATGTTTCTTAACGTAATTTCAATAACCCCATATTTCTGTTAAAAGATTTAACGTGATCAAAGGCCCCGCCTTTTTAATAGAAAAGAAATTTTACAGGGGAAAATTATCCCCATATTCTTGAGCATGAGGTCAATCCAGCTGTAGAAAAAAAGAGTAAAATAACTATAAATAAATGCTCGATTTTAAAATTTCATGCGCTTGTCATGGAATGATGAAAATTTGGTGAGGTATATGAGCTGTTATTATACTAAGGGCTGTCAATCATTATCATGATTATGAGACAGATCAAAATATTTAACCGCAATGTAATTTCATGGTTGAATTGTGGTATATAGTTAGGGACATAATTGCATGAATTATAATGCACAGTCGATAGGTAGTATTGATCATGGACCTAACATGTATTGATTCACAATTAAAACCTGAATAGCTCTTCATGGGGAGAAGGGATGAACTTAGTGAATGTGAAGAATAATGAAAAGAATAGGCAGGAATGATATAGGCTCCCATATTTTGTTGACAGAATGTAAAAACAAATCTTTATTTCTTTATCCATTGTCTACATACCGATGATACATGTACACGAATATTACAGACAGTGTGACAATTAGCGGAAAGTTAAACAGGCTTCTTATATTCCTAAGCAGTTTCATGGGCCAAGCATTGCATAACTTAACTAATATCAAAACGTTAAAATCTTTACAAAATTGTACAAAGCGGTCACTCTTTTGTTTCCCACACGATTCAGAGAGACTGAGCTTTTATTTATTTCATTTCATTCAAATCAACTCAAATCTATTCGGGTTGTATTGATATAAACAATAACAAAACATATCAAAAGTGTAAATATTTGCAAAAGAAGATACAGGAGTGTAGTCTGAAGACTGATGATAATTATCATGTTTAAAATAATGGATAACATAACAAAATAAATGTAAACATTAAACATCAAATTTATGAATTAAAAGCAAATGAACATAATAAAGCAGATTATTGAATATATTATTATGCATTGGATTGTTAAATTAAACTATGTGCTACTTTTCAGATTTTAATTTGTTTTTATATGTTTTCCTTTCCTGTTTCTTTTCTCCAGGTAGCTATTTGGATCCTCTTAAGGCATGCTCTCTCTCTGGAGAAAACGGGGTGCCTGTAGGAAAATCAGAATCGGCAACCTTCTCCAAATACAACTCCCTCATCAAACAATCGCGTCGGAATGCGACGCGGGCTTCCGTGCTCAACGATGTCGAGCGGAGTCGATTTGATTCCATCGTCAAGCGGATGGAAAGCGAGCACGTCTACCATACGGCCGTGCTCGATCGGCAAAAGAGACAGTTCCGAAAATCCCTGCAGGTGCTCGAGAAAGACCGACGGGCGGTGAAGCGGTATTTCGATAAGGGTGGTAAATGGGTGGCGACGCCGCTCAAGCTGGTCGATGGCGTCGACTCGAAGATGAATAGACTTGAGCGACATGAGCGACATGATCTTTTGCCGCCTATTGAGGCCGTGGCGGCCGTGCAGGAAGTCAACACTGAAATACCTGGACACCCAGGAGATCAACCAACGGTGAACAATGTGACAACAGAAGTCGTCCAGCCTGCTTCAGACAAGGAAGAAGTTGCTCCCAAGATGGACAGCCCTGTATCGCAGAAGCCCCCTTTTCCTACCCGTCGACTGCAAAGCATGCCCATGGAGGCAGCTTCCAGCTCAATCCCGAAGCCGCCACAAAGATTCCATACGGGCGATGACTTGGAAACGATGAGAGAACATTTAATGAGTGGACATCATGACAAAGATGACGACAATCGACAAAACAATGACGTGTCTGCTTCGATATGAACGTTTCTGTGTTGGCCAAAATTGCTTTTGAAACATAATTATAAAGGCTCACTTTATCGGCCAACGCGTGTTGCCATTTGCCACTGTATAATGCTTGTTTTTGCATTGCCACTTGCCGTGTTTTCATTTATTACGTCAATTTAAATATCAAATCTATTGTTCAAATGATATGTTGTCTTTTTATATATACCTTAATAGACTCAAGGAATTTTTTATAGCCTTGTATTATTTTGTAAAAAAAAAAAATGTCAACCAATATATTAGTCGTTTGTATACGTTCTTTAAAGTTAAACGTTTATATTCACAATTAAGTGGTATAGCATTTTTGTCAAGATGGTAAGGCCTATTCTTCTATTTTTTTTTATTTGTCACGGAGAATAAATTAGTAAAGCTAATACCTCGACAATTATCCCGGTCATTGGATTCAGGCTTACCAGCTTACAATGTATTCAACCAGGCGCCATTTTACAGACACTCACAATGATGGGCAAGCACCCTACCGTGAACCCATGATTGACACCTGGGTGGACAGTGTCAAAACGGGATTAATAGGTTTCCAAAAAACGTTAGTGCCGGGCTGGGATCCGAACCTTCAATCCTTGGATTGAGAGTCAAGTGAATGCATCTTTATACCACGAAACCTCCACAAAGTGTTATGCGAAACCGGTGTTCAAAGTATCTAAAATTGAATTGATGGGGAAAGTAGAACAAGCGTATATAGAAAAGTATCATTTAAAAAAATAAAAAATAAGGGCGTACACAACTTATCAAACTAATCAAAAGGATATGGGATATTTTAAACTTTTACGATAACTTCGTAAGTATTTTAATTTTGTAATCGCTAAAAATGAATAAATTTCAAGATGTCCGCTGATAACACACAAGAATGAGACAGGAAAATAAGAAATATTTTACTTTGAATGACAAAAATGGAATGACCTCTACTTTCCCACTGATCGACTGAGTGTGTTTTGTGATTTTTGTCTTATAATTTTGGGTTGTTGAAAAAAATGCGTGTGTGTACATTGCAAAATTATATATAAGCGTATATATTGTAAAGAAAAATATATAGACCTACGGGACTTATTACCCATAAAGCCACATACAAATGTGAAGTGTACTGCCAATAAGGAAATATTATTTTCTTTTTCTGCACATTAAAGGACTAGCTTAAAGTGGAAATGGCTAATATGTAATCACGGATGAAACAGTCTATATATCTATAACAATTATTAAACAAGCGTTATAGTTAATCTGCTCCGACAAAGCGCCCCCGATTGTTTTGTTGTTCAAATATATTGAAATAATTATCAAAATATGCGACCATGCATTCCAGGACCGTCACAAATAAGTTTGTAAAGTCGTTTTCATATTCATGTAATGGTAATGATATGAGCTACACGTATGTAGTAATGTAACATGATAACGTTTTTAAAACTTTTTAAGTCGTTTTTTAATATGAAATTATCATATTAAAAGAAAATATATTAAAGTAAAGATTATAATGTTATTGCCATTCAAGTGAGACTTTCTGTGCTGTCTTTTATTTTCTTTCAATGTCTGATGCCATCAAAACAAAATGGATACAGGGCGATCACCTAAAAAGTCGAACCCCATTTATATAAATTAGAAATAATGATCAATAATCAGCAAAATTGTGTTAATCTGAAGAGTCATCTACACTATCTCCAGTAACATTTTCACATGTAAATAAATTTCATTAGAAGTAATACTAACACTATTGAAAGACCTTGCACTTTTAGCATCGTTTACTGCTCTATTTTGAGCGTTTCATAGAAAGTATGTACCTATAATAGCTCCACTGTCAATAAAATATATTAAATGGAGTATATATATCTTTCTAAACCAGCACTTTATCTCATATCACTCCCCATCCCCTATTATTAAAATAAAAGGTATATAAACGGAACAAATTTTTGTTCCCGTTTGCAATCAATTGCTGGTGTACAGTCAACACTGAATATGGAAACATTAGTTTATAATAGCTTTTAGGCTGAATGACCCCCCCCCCCTCTCTCTCAATACAATATTTTGTCTGGAACTATCAAGACCAGCACTCAATCTCATCTCATCAATACCCCTTCCAAGTTTACATTTAAAAGAAATCTGGAGCAATGTGATGGAGCAGAAAGTATTGCTTTTATTATGACAAAAATGTGTTTAAAATCAAATCCAAATTAGACCCTATAATATGCACTATCCAGTATCCATCAATATACTGGAGTTTAGTATGAGAGAATATTAAACAAAAGACATTGATTTCTCCATCAGAGGATTAAAACGAACTAAAGGAGGTTGCTTGGATATAAGGGAGATTGATTTCTTGCTTGGCAGCCTCCTTAAAAAACAATGCATGTGGATCGCTGATTTCGTTGAAGAGATCAATATCTTTTGTTTGCATGGTTTGATTTGGCCGCAATTCACCTGGTGGTAAAAAATAAATAAAGATGGTTTCATGGACATTTATAGATCCAAATATCTTTAGTGGTATCGGTGCGGTCAATATTGTGAGACAGTTTAAAGTGGCACAACATACTTTTGATGATGGCAGTGTCAGATCCAGGGGTAGAAGATGTGTGTATGTTTTTTTTTTTTTTTTTTTTTTTGGGGGGGGGGGGGGGGGGGGCGGTATTGTGGTGTAACAGACATGTGAACCTTCTATTTTTGGACACCCTTCAAAGAAGCATACATCCTCCATTCCAAACTCATTTATGGATCTCTCAGTGTTGCATCAAACTAAAGCCAAGGAGTAAACAGGGAAACAATAATATTTCTTTTTCAGAGTTTATATTTCCATTATTTGGCCACAGAGAATTTCATTTCATCATGTTTGTCTACAAAAAATATGTATTTTTTTACAAACGTGACTGGTAACAAACTTATATATGTTGGTCTTGTTTTCAACAAAACGTTTTGACTACAGGTATCTTAAGTATGATTAATCAGCTTATGATCCAAAAGCACAGTTAATGTGCAAACAGAAGAAAATAATAGTAGTCTTTGTTTAAAAAAAAAAAGTACCTTTCATACAGACTGGCTTGCATCTAATAACATTAGAATAGAAACATTGTCAAATTAACAGTTATGAAAAATATATATAATAATCAATTCATCTTGATACTGATTATATTTGATATATTAATATCTACCATATTCCAGTCATGTAATTCATATATCTAACAAAATCAACATGGTCTCAGTTACTATTTAAAATCCCCCCAAAAAATCAACAACAGCAAAAAAAATAAAAATAAAATAAAATTGAATTGTGTGAAACTTACAATGACACATACCATAGTTTGGACATGATTTCTAAAGGCATCATGATATTGGAATTGCATTTGAGTTGATTTCTTTAGTCTCTGCAATCCTATTTGGTTTTGTTGAAAGTCACTTCATAATAAAGTCAGTTTAATTACAAAACTAAATAGCATAAGGAATTATAGATTCATGATTTTTACAGCACCAAAAGTAAACTCTAATGTAGGTAATTAATAGCTACTGCTAAAAATTATTGGTTAGACTTTAAGAATTGTCTCATGGAAGTCAAGATTAAGCATCAAATTCATGATCAATCGCTTTGATTTAATACTTTCCATAAGACCCATATAAATATCTATTCCAATATTGTTGATCTCATCTAACATACTATCATTGTCCTGGTATTACTCCACCCATCCTTTTGCTCTTAGAACAATCACAAAGGATGAGGAAGTGTTGATATGGAAAATCTGATCAATGATGAATCCAAAAATGCAACTCTTGTTGAATTTATTTACAGCCAACAATGGTAGAAACTTTGTTTATACATGTACATGAGTCTCATTTTTGCATCATACGCACGTCACACACAAATCCTAAGTGATATCTGATAGACTGTTCTACCAGAATAACAGTACATTTATTTTATATCACGCCACTGTCACCACATATCAGTTATTAACATCAATTCATACACTTCTCAAGGTGAAACTGGTCACCCCGTTACAAAAAAAAATGAAAATAATCAGGGAAACACCTCAGTTCATATGTTACAAGCTTTTTTTTTAATGGTAGAGACCATACAACTAGATTATTGGACTATTTCCCTGTGCTGATTGGTAAATTGGCATCAAATATTACCCAGCATGCAAGCAGCTTTATGGCAAGATCATCATAGATCCAATCAGAGGGAAGAAAGTCCAAGAACCTATTATGTGTCAAACCTCTTACACAATATTTTTTTCAATAAAAACCCTCCTGTACTAAAATAATTACAAAATAAAAAAAGAATCAACCGTCATATGATTCACAATGTTAATTGTGAAAAACGCTCACTGATAGTACACATTGATTATTAACGAGATGTTAAAACAAGACACTTTTCTTATTACAAGTTTAAGTTGAAATTCCTAATTGAATGAACTGTTATTGCTTTCCCGATCTATTTATTCCAAAATGGATTTCAATGTATATAATGCTGAAAATTTCACACTTGCAAAGATACATTTAGGAGTTTAGTTTCCAAAATGGATTTCAATGTATATAATGCTGAAAATTTCACACTTGCAAAGTTACATCTAGGAGTTTACTTTCACAGGAATATGTCAAATTGAAATCACAAAGTAAATTTTCATTGGATGATTGCAGGTTTATGATTCTCCTTTCTGATTTATTAGGTATCTATTCTCATTTTTTAACATTTTTGTGATGTATATTTCAGCTACACCTTTCTACCTTATTCAACAGTCAGTTTCTAGAGCTACAGAGTAATTTCCATTGTCAAGGCATCTAAAAGAAAAGTTCCATCGCAGCAAGGGCAAGAATGAGCATGCAATCATTTTGCTACCACACACACATGGATCAATTTTAATAACAAGCATCTAGATGAGTTTTGAAGATACTTGTTTACTTGACAGAAGAAAGACATAGTGCTTTGTATTTGGCACATTAGAAAAACAGAAAATAAAAAACAGATTGTTCCATGTTTTCCAAACTTTAGAGATAGAATTTAGGATTATCTCAACATTTAGTAATGAGTTAAGTATTTAGGGCACATATCTTTGCTGTCACAAATGAACTACGGCACTTGTTACAGAATTATATTAGGATATATGGAAGTACTTCATGGCACGTCTGTTTGATTAGAAACCAACTGCCTCTGCTTTGCTGATGCCTTCCTTCAAGAACTTTGCATAGTTTGTAACTAAGGGATCGGTGAATGTACTGTAAGAGAAAACAAATAATAAAAATAGAATAAAGAATACAAAAAAGCTGCATAGAAATCAGGAATTACTATCCACATTGTCTCCAATATATATCAAGCAAACAAAAGAAACAAGTCAACACAAAGCGTAGCAACCCCTCGCCGGGGTACAAATGGCCTATATTTAGCCATTTTTGCAAATTTAATGAGCTGTTACATACTCAATAACATTATCGGAAATCAAAAACATACTGGTAAGCTGTAACCTTCATATCAAAGTTCATTAAAATCCGACAAATATTACTAAAGTTATCAACAAATATCGCACTGTTTTTTCTGTTTTACTCTTTTTTTCTTCTCACTTGGTCGTATAAGCCATTATTATCTATAACATCACTGACAAAATTAAATGAAAATCGAAAGAAAATCATCTCATGTTTTCGAGGTACAACAGATTATCAGAATGGTCAAGGGGGAGGGGGGGGGGGGGAGGGTGGAAGGCACATAGTTACACAGGTTTATAAATGTATTAAAGATATATCTTTACTACATTTATGTGTACTAATAGCATAATTCTGTAACTATGCTACTAATAAATTCAATTTTAATTTGAATCAGGATGTTTCAGCTTTATATCTTATATACAACAAAAATATTGGTCATTAATTAACCCTTGACTATTGATAATCTAGCCTTTCTACTGGTTTATCAGATGATGCATATACATGTACCTGTCTGTCAAACCCAGATTTGTCCCTTTGGCTGTAATGTGTTATATGAAAGGAGAGTGGTTTGACACAGGGACTTGGTTCATAAAAGAAACAAGAAAATAGACTTACTCTAGGATACTTGCATTCTCAGTATTACTTGCATCCAGTAAATCATTGGCATTGATGTGATGAATTACAGTTCCATTTGGCAATGATACAAGCATTTCTACTGGAAAACTAGAAGACAAAAGTAGAACAAATTTTAATGGTTATATGTCTGATTTTAAAAACCTTACCAAACTACATATTCTTGAGCTTACATAAAAGTGAGATAAGCAGGAAAAGGGAAGACATTGCATTACTCAACAACTTCCACTGGACACTTAGAAACACAATTAAATGGCAAAGTATAAACAACTTTGGAATCATGAGATATACTTCTTCAAAACAATTTTTTAAAGACGGAATCTAAACAGCTCCCAGATATGAAAGAGCAAAGTACAGGTATGTAGAGTAACCATACTTACTATACAGGAGATATCAAAACTGAAAACTGCTATCGAATGTATCACAAGCTTTATTGTGATTTGATTTGGCTTTGAGGATATTTTGGGGAACCAGTAATCTCTATCTTTTATTTTATATATTTATCACAGAACAATCTGTGGAATTATTTTGTTTTATTCCATGCAGGCATAAACATCCACAATATACCATAATACAGTGAAACCTGCTTGAGCACCCTATTCAAGTACAGAAAGACCACCTGTCCATCAAGGCCACCTGCCTATAAAGACCACTTGTGGTCACCTGTGTGCAGACTTCATATACAGGTTTCAATGTATTCACATAACTGCTCATAGATGTAGACTTACTTATATTTTTCTAATGACATGGAAGCTAATGCTGCATACTCAGGGTCACTTTTGTTCTGTTTGATGACCTCAAGCTCAGCAACGAGTGACCAGCTGCTGACATAATGGCTGCCAAGCAGCTGAAGGACGGGCGGACTTTCAAGAGACGTCTCTCGTAAAGTCCGCCCAGAACCTGTGGGTGTGAGAAGAAAACAAGAAGGAACGTAGTGAGCAAACATGAAATCTATCATATGTGTTATCATGACAGTGAACAAATTCTTAAAAGTTCAAGCAAATTAGATAACACAGAGACTTTCCCGATTGGTCACTGACTATAATCTTGAGTTCTGAGTTCTTAGCCATTATCAATTAAGATGATATATGCATTTTACGCATATGTATGAGGGCTGGAGAAGAGAAAATATACCCTTAAATGGGAAGAGTATTGCATTCCCAAAACAATGCCTTGTATATTTTTAATTATGTCATCTATTTGTATATTCACATAAAAACTTTATTGTATATTCTAATAAAAATAAAAATAAAAACATAGAATATAATTAACTAGATGGAACTTCGACTGCGCGCAGTCGAAATGATGCCTCCGTCATAGAGCAATTTACAAACCAAAACAGAAGAAATTTTTCAAATTCAAGTTCAATTGTAATCCATTAACAGGTTCTCAGAATATCGTGATTACAAGCAATTTCTTATATACATATATGACCCTTTGATCTTTGACCTCATGACCCTAACATCTACTCAGTTCATTGGCTCTGCAAGATGTCCCGAGTTAAATAGTAATCCATCTGTCAGTTCTAATGAGAATGCGTTCACAAGCTATTTTTGCATACATAATGAGCCCATGACCTTTGACCTTTGACCTCATGACCCAAGAATCTACTCAGTTCATTGGCTCTGCAAGATACATACATGATCTAAGTTTGGCAGGAATCCATCAATCTGTTCTAATGATAATGCGATCACAAGCTATTTTTGCATACATAATAAGCCGCATGACCTTTGACCTTGACCTCATGACCCCAAAATCTAATCAGTTCATCGGCTCTGCAAGTAACATACATGACCTAAGTTTGGCAGGAATCCATCAATCGGTTCTTGAGATAACGCGATCACAAGCTGTTTTTGCATACATAATGAGCCCTGTGACCTTTGACCTTTGACCTCGTGACCCCGAAATCTAATCAGTTCATCGGCTCTGCAAGATACATACATGACCAAAGTTTGGCAGGAATCCATCAATCGGTTCTTCAGATAACGCGATCACGAGCTGTTTTTGCATACATAATGAGCCCTGTGACCTTTGACCTTTGACCTCGTGACCCCCAAATCTAATCAGTTCATCGGCTCTGCAAGATACATACATGACCAAAGTTTGGCAGGAATCCATCAATCGGTTCTTCAGATAACGCGATCACGAGAACGGGACGTACGGACGGACGGACGGACGTACGGACGTACGGACGTACGGACGGACGGACGGACGGACAACCCGAAAACATAATGCCTCCGGCTACTTCGTAACGGAGGCATAAAAATTAAAACATGTTTTGACGATCTTTTCCCTGAAATACTGTAATGAAACAATCGATATGAAAGGGCTGTTCATGTATCAAGATCACATTCTGTTCACATAATTTTGGTATGAATTTAAAAGCAACAGGAGACTGGTATTACCAATGTTCCTTTCTCTCAATCAATCTTACCTCAGCATGACTGGTCATCTAATGCGCCCCAGAGTAAGACATGATGCACCAGCTTCCTCTCTGCATGGGCTCTTTTGAATGCTGCATTCAAGGGCATATATTCAATCTGGAAGTATATCAAACCAAGATAAGGAATTATATTTGTAATCAAATATCATTGACTTGCATGTGTTTAAGGTTCTATTTTACCTTTTGTCTACATGAAATGGGTAGTTTCTGTGTTAAGCTTAAGGGAAAGGGAAAAGTTGACAGTTAACAGGTACACTTTTTTTTAGTGAAAAATGAAACTTATTAAATAGTGGAGACAATTCCATGTAGATCTATGATAAAATGCTTGAAAATCTTGTAAAGGTGTTAAGGCAAAAGAATTTCTTGTTTAATATTGAAAGATAATCTGACTTGTTTTTACTTCCTTGTTTTTCTGACTGCATTTTGTGCATCTATGTATCATAACAAACTAGTCTGAAGATTACAGTGAATATTTCTTGAATGATAAATATTTTTCTGAACATGAACCAAAATACTTCTGGAATGCACAGATCTTCCTGCTGACTTTTGATCTTTCAAGGAAAATGGAAAAAATGTATGGAATGGCCTAGAGTTTTAGCCAATAAAAGTAATCTGTTGCAAAAGCTCTTCAAATAGTCTGTATTTTAAATATATATTTAGTATCACTACGTAATAATTATGTGTTGCTATTCTGCTTGTTAATTTGCAATTTCAGTTGATATCCTCCCAACTAGTACAGTGTGTTTTCTTTTCTCCTTTGTAAGATGGAGCTTTGTCATCTGTCATGGGGAATATTTGTACCACTGCATTTCTTGCTGATCAAGAACACCCCTTCATTCAGAGTCCGTTCACAAGACGATGCAATCACAGTCCCCGCCCCCCCACTCAGTGTTATTCAGGGTACGCGTATGCATGTTCCCTCCTTTTGAAAACACCCCCCTAAGTCTGGTGTGTAAAGTCAATACGGGTCAATTGTTTGGGTGTTACGAGCTGGACTTTGCTGCGTGAAAAGTACCCTTTTACCAGACATTTTGGGAACATGAGTGCGGTCCCTCCGTTTCCGGAGTGGGGGGCCGGGTCACAGTCCCAATCTTACCTTTTTAAATGGATACATCTCCTTCTCTAACAGGACGAGGGCCTCCTCCATGCTGATCTCTTCATCCCAATGGATAGTCCCGCTTGACATCTCTTGCTGATTGGACGGTTCATAGAGGACTTCGCCGGACTCGGAGTATATGGTCACCTGAGAGGATGGGTTGGGAGCATGGAGTTCCATCTTGGGCATGAAGCCGATGTCGACCTCCATGTTTTCGACCTCGTTGGGCCCATTCATCCACTCCATGTCTGAAATAGAAGAACATTGATTGAATTCGTAATTGATTTTTCATATCAGAGGCAAAGTTGTTTTATTTTGTTGTGTTTCATTACTGAGAAATCAGTAACGAAAGTTTCAGTCTTGTATAGAGCTTCTCCTGAGATGTTAAAATAACATCTAAGGGATATTTGTTTTCCCTACAAATGGAATTCAAGGACTAGTAGACTGGAAATTACTTGCGCCGAAAAGTACAGAGTAATCGGTAAAAACTATTTTTCTTAGCATAATGCTGCATGTACAATTCCGCATTTCATTTTTGAACTATGCACAGAATACTTGTGAAGGAAATGATTTGACGGGACATTATTTTGTTTCACTTTACAAAGAGTTAATGCACTTCTGGCTCCAAACAGATATTATGGCCTTTCAAGAAACAATCCATCCTTGCAAAATCTATTGTAAGTGAACATTGCATTTGGTGTATGAGTGGTGGCGCTGTTTCAAGATAATGATTATGATATTCTCATAACTCACCCACATTCAGGCTCCTATTTGAAGGGACGTGCATATTGAAGTATTTAACATGTGATGCATCTTTTCTGATGATAAGATGACCTATGAACTGAGCCGGTGTGAACCAGAATGGATGGCTTGGAGGCTCATTCAGCTGAAACTCTGCATGGGTTCTGTGGGAAAAATAGGGAATGTTTTTTATACTATTTCTCTTTTATAATTGTCTACATCTATTAATTTCTATTCATTGTGAGGAAATTGACACCTTCATACTTTCAAACAAGTTGCAACAACAGTCTGCTCTTTCCTTAGGGTATCAAATGACTTCTTGTAATAAACAAACTCTCTTCCTCTGTTTGGACAATTGTTTTACAGTTTGTAAACTGCTCTTGGGTTTCAAGACTGATTTATGTTTAATCTACACTCCTCTTTCTCAAGTGTTTTGATCAAACACAAGATATGGTTTTGAGTTAAGGTTTTTACTAGCATATGTAGTAATGTGTATCAGAGTAGTGCAGTAGTATAAAGTAGGTTACAAAGACTTGTGATTCAAGACAAAGAAATGTCCTTGACAAAAAGAGCTTATCTTATAGAGAAAATTTCAAACAAAAAACTTGTAGCCCAGACAAAAGATGTAGAACCAAAGCCGTAAATAAATGTATGTACACATCTATTTTGTAACTGAGCAGTTCAAAACAAAAACTTTTGAGTCATTTGATTTGTTTTAAAACAGCAATAAAACTTCCCCTGTACTAATAATAATTATTGCGTACCTGAAGACGATATCCACATAGTCCGCACTGACTGCCTTGACAACGGCCACTGTACCCTGCGGTCCAAACCTGGAGTGGATAAATGGCCTTGAATGGAAGACACTGAGTAGTCTATGGACGATGATCTCCTTGCCCTTGACCCTTGGCGGAAAGTAGCGGTTACTGGACAGCTGATTGGTCATCATGTTGAGCTTGGACTTGATGATGGTGTAGACCTTGCTGACCTGGACATGGTTCTCTGGAAGGAGAGGACGGAAGGCACTGGCCGGGAAGGCGGTCATCTCCTCTTTGGGTGTCTTCCAGCTGTCCAGGGAGGATAGAGATGATCTACTGGTCTGTGAAAACACAAGACATTGCAGCATTAGGATAAATTACATTTCATTAAGTTCTCATGGTAAATTTATTGCATGGAGACTGGGGAAAATTTGAAAATACAGTCAAACCTGCTTTAGTGACCACCTGTCTACAACAAGCACATTTTTTGTTTCCCTTGGGCGGTCGCTATAGACAGGTTTGACTGTACATACATCAGATAAATGTATGGACTACATGTAATTTGAGAGACTAACAATTAGAGGTTTTATAGAAAACCAAACAAGTCTTCTTTCCTGCTCCTCCAATCTTACATTGTTTATCATCAGAAATGTTATGACACAACATGCACACAAATGCACAAATCAATGAGGTTTGCTCTCAGAAGTGTTAGGCGAAGTGAGGGGGGGGGGGGGGGGGGGGATGTTCAGAGAGACCATAATACATAATTTGGCATGCATTTCTAAGGTTAATTGCATCTTGCAAACACTAATAATGTGTCCCCTTCCTATTTAGTGGACAGGTCCATGCTATTTGGATTGTGACGTACGGGACATTCAGAGACTTTAAACAAGAAATAACAACAGATGAAATTATATGGCTATCTTTTGGTATTAGTCTGTGGCTATTATGGGCTACTGTAGTTCATTTGTGGAAAGTTTTAGTTCTGACCAACTCTTTAATTAATTTTTAATATAATAAATGTGCTGCGTGACGTACGGCCGAATGCTGCAAACTATACGTCACGCTGCACATTAATTACATAGCAGACTCATACCAAAAGAGAGCCATATAAATAATTTCATCTGCTGTTATTTCTTGTTTAAAGTCTCTGAATGTCCCGTACGTCACAATCCAAATAGCTTGGACCTGCCCAAGTGCATACTGTAATCAGAGCAAAGTGTTTGACACAAAGAGCAATTAAATTGTTTCCTCACAAAGGAACACGTTATATTAAAGTATCTTAATGATCTTTATCCTTTAGGACTCATTTAAATAAAAAATGATGTGCTTACCAGTTTCACAAACATGTTCATAATGTCACATCTACTTTCATGTACACAAAGGCTTGTTTCCCCAAGTACACAGATTATACATATGTATTCACGAAGGCACATACAGTAGTCAATTCTACCATGAAAATAACTTTTAAAAGGGGAAGGCTATCCCGATAGTAAATTGATTGGAACAAAAGGAGGGGAAAATTCTTGATTTAAAAAATGGGAGTTTGAGAAAATAAGAAAGACATGTTTAAAAACCACTAGATGAATTGTCAAAAGCTACTAATTTCCATACAGTTTGTATAAAGACTCCCAATTCTTAACAGGAAAGAAGAAATTGTTTACAAAATACATTTTAGGCATATTTACATGTATGTTCACAACCTTCAAAACGAAATGAAATGAACAATTCTTAACCAAATTTTACTCCCAATTTTTATTGACCAGTTATTCTCTTTTTAATGCATTTATAAAAATCAATTTGATACCTGGTTGGAATTCCCCTTTAAAATATTTCTCCCATTTGTCTACATGTCAATAAACTCTGCAGGTGTTTTTGCACATAACATTCTTGTGATTCTGCTGAAAAATAAGCTGACATCATGCTGATCTGACAATAGAGGCTGTTGACAGTCAAAGAGGAAGGTGGTAATTCATAGATTATTATCTACAGCAACATGAATCATCATCACTTAAACATTTACATGTAGCTCAGACAAAGGATGCATCGCAATTAGGATTTTAACAGTGATAGAGCTTCCATTATCACTTCTGCAAAGAAGGATTTCTCAGAGAACTGATTGTTTCGATGTCAAGAATAATAATCTCCTTTTATTTCATGAAGTTTTTCAGATATCTATCTTTTACCACATACTGTACATGTACTGTAGTAACAAGCATTGAAGGAAAGACATTGAAGGAAAAGACCAGATGTTAAAATGTTTTACTAATTTCCTTTTATAAATGTAATGCTTCCTGGGAGAAATTTTAATTGTTTCCTTTTGTACCCTCATAAGAGTTAATTTTGGAGATATCCCATGATCTAACCCATGTGCATCCTGTAAATGTTTGTTTTCTATTTTCATGGAACAATTGCCACTGCAATCATAGAGCTTCTACACTTTGTTTTCTTCATCTCTTAGTGTGTAGGTTACAATTTGTATGCCTTTAGAACCAATCCTTTCTGATAATATGTCAAGATACCTTTATGTACAAGTAGAGTTACAGGATGTAGGCTTTTCATGAACTGCTTGATAATGATGATGATGATAATGCAATAATAATGATACTACTATCACTACTACTACTACTACTAATAATAATAACAATAATATTAATAATAATAATAATAATAATCATAATATTCCATTCTTTAAAGTGTTAACCACATTATGCTACATGTCTTTTTTCATGTACTTCCAAAGAAATGAGGATATTATTAGTTTATTACCCTGGCTTTACAACTGTAGCTCTGCCAGCAGTAGCGTTCAGTGTTTCTCATACGGTGCACAGAAAAGTCCTAATCAGTACTAAAATATATGAAAATCATGTGTACTATACAAGTTTATAAAGGACATGGTTTTTGAGATTATGATAGATGGTGACAATTTTACAAGTGAAACTGTACAAAATAAGGTCAATATGGATAGTTTGATCCATTATATCCTTCCTGCCATCTGCAAAATAGTGGCACAGTAGGCCTACTACATACATGCAGTTCGTCTGTGTTTTGTACTTTACCTCTTAAAGGGAAATTGCCCCACAATGACAAGGGAAATTGTCACACAATGACAAGGGAAATTGTCACACAATGACAAAGAAACGTGCACATCCACACACACACATCAATTGTCTTGATATTGAGTTTTTTTGTAATCTACAGCACATTCATGGATATATATCGATACACACAAAAATGGGATTGTCTGTATGTTCAATATCAAATCTATAGATGAAGGCTAACAAATTATGTGTTTATTGTCTAATTACCCGATGATCAATCACTTTCAGACTACATCTCTTCATTTATTCCAATTTCATGTGTAAGAGGTATATTTTGGGTGGAATAACAGACCTTTTCCCTGTTATTTATACTCTTTAAATACATGGAAATGTCTCAGTAATTCCAACACCATGGAAATGACTTTTTCCTGTATAAAATTAAGAGCGTGATTATATCATATTTGTCTGACTGTTAATATTTGTAAAACCTTTTTTTATCAGGTATGTACTGATAAATTTATCCTGCAGGAAATATGTTTCTTGCAACTATGGGAAAAATAATACTGATACAACATGAATATATATGATTGCAATTAATTGATCCAAAAATGAGAATTCCTACACATTCTTTACGAAAAAGGAAGCGATTGTCTTCATGTTTTAGCCTACACGTTCCTTGCACAGATGAAAGTGTGAAGGCCCAGTTAGTACAGTGTATTCATTGATCATGGGGTCTTATACCCATGTCCTTACTGGTATGACTAGGAAAAAATTCATAAAATCAATCATTATCGTAAATAGAGAAAAGAGAAAGGAAAAAAAGAATAAATAGAGAAAACTGTCCCTGTAGAAATTTCTATTATTCTTACCAAAAATGACTGATCCTTTGCCTTGGACATGGTGTCTTGCTGGAGAGGGATAAAGTTTGCTTCTATGGTCAAGACCTCTTCAGCTGGGTCAAGATCTTCATCTCCATAGGTAAAGTCTCCTCTCTGTTTCCAAAAAAAAAATGAAACAATCGCAAAAAAGGAAATACAAGTGATTAAAATCATGCAATAAGAATTGAATTACTCATCTCAATGTGCAAAATGAGCTGGATTTATTCAAGAGTGAAGAAAGAGCATCATTTAGCAACAACACTCTACTTTGCTAGAAAGATCCTTGAGTAGGTTAAAATGCTATTTAATTGATAAGTGAGTGGTGAAAGTGGGAGAGAAATAGACTGAGATGACAAACAATTCTAAAGAAAGGATTCTTACTATGTGTGACTAGTGTAAGATCATTTAAAAAGAGAATCTCTATAAACAAAACATTATAGCTACATGTACATACTTTACATCCACTAGCAGCAAAACACTTTTGTCCCATTTTCTATGAAATCCTTCCATAAAAAGCTTTGAATTTAGAAACAGCCATCTCAAAAGCTTTACAGATCCAACATACATGTACATGTACAGCACCAGGGATATGGGAGAGAGATGCTCTATTTGATTGTACCTCTGTCACTATCTGCACCCTATTGTCTGCAAACAATGCATGCTTTACCTATAGAGGACTGTCTTTTGTCAGGGTTCCTTTGAATTTCATTCATCAAATAGACAAATACAAAGAGGGTTACATAACATTTCATTTGGAAATAGGTGAAGGGACAGGGGTGTGCACACACATGTTCTGTATGTTTAACATGTACATGTACATGTACATGTATGCGTATTCTGGGCTGTTATTATTTAATGCTGGCAGCCAAACATACATGTACCCTTTAAATAGCAACACAAATTGCTAGTTTAGGCAAGTCAAAGTTACATCACCCACCATTTCTTTAGGCTTTAAACAACATTGTACTTTAAATGATGGGCACCTCAGATACATGTACTGTACACATGTACATGTACATGTACATGTGTGTATAAGTTATTTCATTTTCCTATTAGATTGGTAATAACCTGGCCATGATAGCTGGCACTCTGTACATATAATACAGTAGCTGATGTTCATATTAAGGTTATTAACGCAAATATGATTTCAGAGTCTGATAGGACGAGTACAAATTTGTCTGACTCCTTACTGCATGATGAGAAAATCCACCTCTATTAATTGAAATTAAATTCATAATTTATTTCTGATTTTCTGAACAGGTTTCTTTTATTTACAATGATCATTGATTTGAAACTCGACTTCACTCTTGTTTATGGCAGTAAAATTTTTCATTTTGATTACATAAAATATAAGGAAAGAATGTTCCAACTACAGCATCAAGTCCGTCAACAATGCTCTAGACAGACTAGAGCCTTTAGAGGCTTTTGGTTTACAAAGGCATAACAAAGCCAGAGTCTACACTCTACTCAGTAACTATTATTACTCTATTAAATAGAAATTATTTTCACAATAATAACATAACATCAATGACAATGCAGAGCTGCAAAAGATTATTGTAAATTCATGAGAGGTTCACTTCATCAAACTCAAAGGTCTTTCAAATGTGATTTATTTTTCTTTATACACACATTGCACAGAGAAATTTTAATGAACTGAGAAGTTGAGAACAAATTGTATGTTCATTAAATTAACTTTAGTGTTTACATACATGTAGCTACAATTGAAATAAAATTAATGAACGATGCACTTTAATGTTAAAGTTAAAGGTACTATGTCCCATTTGCAGGCCAAAAAAATGAAAAAGTTAAATTCCAACTGCATTTGAAAGATAATACTAATTTAGAACTCCCCTAAAATAGGTGGGGCTTGAAAATTTCTTCAAGTGGGAAAATAACGACTATTAGTTGTCAAATCGACTTTAGGGCTATAGAGCCCAAAAGTAATAGTCTTGATTTTCAGACAATTGTACCGAATGGTCATACGTTTTATGCTGCGCAAAGATTCAATCAGTTTAATCTTGGCCATCACAAGAAGTGGGTTATTGATGTAGACAAATGCTCATGTACCCTTTGCAACTCTTTTCATGTATGTTATTAGCAAAGAAGAAACAAAGCCAGTCAGTCACTCAATAGTGTCTGACAGTGAAGTCTAGCAAGTAAACGGGTTACCTTGCATAATTTGAATATGAGGACACTGCTAACGTTTAAATTTCACAGATAGGACATACATGACATATTCATAATTCCTGCAAAGTTCTACAGCATTTGAGGTTGGCTGCAAAAGGGACATAGTACCTTTAATCAACAATATCATCAAAAATTGATTAATTTAACATTTGGAATACCTCAGCTGTGTCTTCAATATTCAATCTTTCCAAGAGAGGTTCAAACTCAATAACATTGAGATGTCCATCACCGTCTCTGTCATACGCATTAAAGATGCTCACTCCCTCTTCTCCAATGGTAAGTTTCATTTCCTCCATCACAAATGTCTCCATCATGATTCTGTTGGCTAAGTTGCCAGCCATCACAGCAACCACGGCCACAAACAGGGACAGGAATGTCAGCGCTTTCCACCCGCATCTTCCCCGGTTAGAACGTCCGAAGTTAGGAGGGTAATGCTCGGTAGTTTGAGTAGCAGTAGCAACGCAGTTTGCGCCTGCAGCGCTGGCGGCCGATCGTCCTTCGCCCCGATCAGGCGGCTTCTTTCGGTCTTTCGACGGCATCATTAGTTGTGATATGATCCGCCGTGATCTTTGTTGTATTTAGACCTCAAACTTTGTGCTTCGTTGTCTTCGTGGATGTACCCACGGTCCAGATGACGACGCAGACAATGAACACCGTGAAAATGGCGAGGATGGAGAGAACTAGCGTCACCATAATTATCTAAATCCTGATCCTGACAAAGCAACTCGACTCGTCTATTATTATAAACGCGGAAGTGACAGAAATACGGTTTACACGTGTACGCGTTTGTACTGTAACATGTAAACAAGCCAACCGGCGGCTGTACGCTGTGCTAGCGAGCTAGAAAGCTATTGTCCCACTCGTAGTCATACATGTACTGCGAAGAGCTCTATTTTTGTCTGTATTTACAGTGTGAATGAAGGTGAAGGCGTGAAATACTTCAAGAAGGGATTCCACAAGTTCAAAGCAAAATCCTGTCAGTATCAACATCATGGCTCTCCGAGCTTTATGGGTAATACCGCTACCAGGCAATGGACCTCCGTCAGTTCTATTTTCAAGGTTGTAAATCGATCAGTTTCATTTCATTTTATTTAGATTTTTCAAAAGCTTCAGACATTCAGTCTAATTCTGTTGACATTCAAACAAATGAGACAATCATATAAGTTTGAGCTAGATAATGTATTGTCAGTGCTTTGTGTTTGTGAATTATAATGCAATGCTGCTGTTGGCAAAATGAACAGTGGGATATTGTTGAGAAAGAGAGAGAGAGAGAGATCGAGAGATGTTAATTTGAAAGAGGCTGCATAGTCAGGCCTGATAAAAACCCGATTTAAATCGGTTTCCCGATTTTTTTTATTTTTCCCGATTTTTTTTTTCTTCCCGATTTAAAAAAAAAAAAAAAAAAAATTACCAGATTTTTTTTTTCTTCCCTTTTTTATCCTGATTTTCCTGATTCCCCCCTTATTTTCTCTATTCTTCCCTATTTTGCCCTATTTTTTCTCCCAATTTTCTTACTCGAAAGGGGGGAATGTTGTTAGATGCCGTTTTTTCCCCGCGAATCGCCTTTTTTTTTTTACTCAAGGGGGGCGTGGTTGAGGGGAAAACAAAAAACCTATTTTTTTTTTAGTGCTCACTATCACACCTGATAGTTCATTTGAAATACTCTATTTAAAATACTCTATTTAAGAGGCTGGTACTCAAGTGGAAGGTTCAGAAGGTTCATTAACTTTATTTCACCGAAGGGTGGTAATTCTGAAACACAAAATCCCCATACTAAGGGGTTCATTCCTAAAATGAATTGGCAATTTAATTCTGAACATTAGTTGCATTATTCCAAATGATCATTTATCGGAAAGTTTGTTATGCCTATAATCAAGGGTCTTTGTGAGAATCCGAAGCTTCATAATTCCACAAATTAATGTGGTTCGTAGTTTTGGAAAACATTTTTGTAACATTTGGAAATGGTTAGTAATACACTGCATTACTATTAAATAGAACTTGATAAAGATTTAGATTACTTGGTACTCGGTGGAGTAATCCCTTTGGCAGCTCACTCGGCTCAGGAAGCTATACTGGGATGGTAGGTGAGGCGAGTAAGTGCAAGGTGTGCGGCCGTGCCCTGAAGTGCAGAAATGGTGTGTTAAAAAAAAAAAGCACTTGTCAATTTACAGTAAAATATGCGATAGTCCAGTGCAAGTATATAATAACCATTCCTTATACTATGTGAGAGAAATTTAGAATTGTACAATGTAGTTCAGAGAATTTGGTCATATATTTTGAAAATATTTGAAACTATATATATGTTTAACAATTTTTCATGCAATCTTCATCGCAATTGACAGAAAATACCCCACTGTGGAGAAAAGGGCCAAGATCTATGGAGAAGGAGGTGAGGGGAGTGACTATGTGAAGATACCTAATGAAACAGAAATCTACAAAGCTGTTCTTGATGAGCTAGGATTACAGCATCCACCAGACAAGGTATAGCTTATCCATTCTTTCATGTTAGCAGTTCATGATTATATTATTATGTCCCACCAGAATCATATCAGAATAGTTATAGTAGGAAGTGCTGAATATGGTTTTCAATAATATGTATAATCCACAATACAGTTTGATATTAAGTTTGTTATAATAGAAGCAGAAAAATAAGAGGAACGTGTCACTAATATAGTATGAGCAAATTCTGATTAAAAATAATAAGGTTTTGATTTTTTGAAGTTGTGATCAATCAAACACAAATTGGTGACTCTGTGACATGTCTAGCAAAAACCCTTAGTTTTGTTTTTTATTAACAATTAAACAATTTCTTTGTTTGTAAATAACCCATATTTAAAACATATTTTTCAAAACAAATATAAGATATGAATATAATTACACTCTATATATCTTTTGCATCATTTCCAGAATTACAGTGCTTTGAATGTCCATATTGGAAAATAACAGAATCGAGAACAAAAACTAGAACCGGAAATTTCTATTTTGTATATATTTTATTCTGCCAATATGATTTATCCTACAGTTTATAGACTCACGAGATAGCTGTGACAAGGTATATCAGAAGCCTATCTTTGAGCTCACTGTCAAGGAAGGGAAGCTATGGCCTGTTATTATGATAGAAAAGGTAAGTAAGACTATCATATTGATACAGTTTGGAAATAATTTGTTTTAATCAATACAAAAAAAATGTTAGTTAAAGCTTTTTAAAACCATTAGCAAAAAGTATCATTTAGTGTATCTTTATAAGTAATAGAGTAATGATATCAGTTGCTATAAGATTGGGGGAGATATATTTTGGTTTTTGAAAATCTGAAATCTCATCTGAAATGAATATGTAGAATTATTTACTTCTTTAGAATGATACGATTCACCTAATATACTTTTCAGTGATGATTGTTGTATAATGTTATCTCCTCTATGCCAAGTTACCAACAAATGGAATCTCAAATGATTCTAATGTGTTTGTGCATATCAATCTTTCCAAATGTTTATGTTCGTCACAGTAGCACATATTAGTACCACATGCGTAGTGCAAGATTTCACTTAAAGTTAAATATCTTTTTATTTTACAATTGAAGAGAGGATTTAGATGTTGATTGAGTATGAAATTCAATACACTGGTAATTTATTTTTAGATGTATTCCATTTCCAATTTCTTGTTAGTTTGGAGTGTTATACAGCTGCCTGCCAGTGGTTGAATCAGCATCATCATCCAGACCACCTCTCATCGATATGTGAGTTCACTTTATAATAATTTGACTTGTTTGACTACACTTTGCATCTTATAATTCCAGATAGGCAAATAGGGCCAGTGGTTTATAGTGACTTTCCAACAAGAGATGATAAGGATGATACAAATACAAGATACCAATATGAAAGGATATTCCTCCTTGTCTCGCCGCAATCTAGTATTCAAAATGTAATAATTTCCTTGTTTTAACATTGTTAATAAGGAATAGATTCTATATCAGCATAACGTTTTTCACTGTGCTATTTGAACTGTACTTTACATGAGCCATTGCTATTGAATTTTGAGAGAAGTCTCCTCAGTATGAAATCAAATTAAATCAATAATATTATGTTTTCAGATTCAAGAACTTTGGGCAAAAAATTGTAAGCAAATGAAGATTTGAATTTCCTTTGACCTTTATTTCACTTTATGTTTTAGTCCTGGTGTCTCTATGGGATTCTCTCTCCTTTTCCAAATGGCAGAAGTAGTGGGGGCTCTACCACGAAATGTGAATGAGGTATGTCATATATGATAACATTGAGTCACTGTTAATGATAACCATCTTGTACAATACTCCATTAATGTATTGGTTCATTTAAACAGGCTGGAACCCAGTTCATTTTTGTCTCACTTAATAAAAATATGTTTTCAGTCGCTGATGTATTTCCTTTTTTAATGTGTTGTATGTATATTTGAAGTAAATGTAATAAACGTAACGTACATTTATATTCAAGGTTATGTTTTCATCATCCCAAGTACAACATATCAAATCTTACAGGAATAAGGAAAGTTTTATGACTTTACCTCTGATAAACCACTTACATGAACTAGTAATCTATTTTTACACTTTCCGTTGAATTCCCAATCTTTTAGATGCATCCTAAACTCCAGGAGCTGTACTGCTACCTGTCACAAGCGGCCCCTTTTGGTTCTGTCATTGATTCGAATCCTACCACAATAAAAGCATCCATTACTGGTCGCATCCACACACAGTCGATTTCGGCACACACAAAGGTATGAGATCATGGCTTCTTCTTTCTCATTTATATGCATAGGATATTGTATATCATCTTTATTGAGATCAAACTGAATAATCTGATAATATTATAATAAATAATTGATGAACTTACACAATTTTCATACTAATTTTAAGGGGGGGGGGGTCAGTTATGAGCTGATATTGGTTTTTAAAAGGTTCCTTTTTGATTGACCATGATCCAGACTTTTTTTAAATATCTCTTCTTTGAGTGTTGGTATTGGAATTTACATTTAAAAGAGAGAAGATAGACTAACAACTTATTAGATGTGTGGACAAAGAATATGGGGAAAAAGAATAATATGAGAGAGAAAGGGGGGGGGGGAGAGAGAGAGAGAAGAGAAAGAGAGAGAGAGAAAGGGGAGGGGAGAGATGGAGATAGAGGGAGAGTGGAGAGAGATATAGGGGGAGAGGAGGGGATGGGGGTTACAGAGAGGGAGAGATAAAAATTGTGTAGTTTATTGCTCATTCTTAAAGTGAGGATCGTCAACATGTTTTTTATACCTTTGTAGCAACCTGCATGGCGTCCTGTGGTTCCCAAAACCAAACCTCAGCTTCACTTTGCCACAACAGAGCAGATACGTGCAGTGCTGTACAACAGGCCAGATGTTGATGATGTCTACCAACTTTATGGAACTGTTACTTGCAAGGTTAGTCTTTATTTTGTAAAACTGACTGAAAATGCAATGCTGAACATTTCTAGAGAAAACAAATTGAGTTGTTATTGTGACAAGATCATTAGAAGACCTCATCATACATCATCAATGACTGTGTTTTGACAAGGTTCCAAAGAGGCATCAATGAAACTCCATCTTGTATCAGATGATGCCCTTGCATGGCTCTCCAATCTTGTTTTGTTACTTAAGCTGCAAAACGTCATATGAACGAAGAAGGATTTGAAGAAATGGGGTGGGGGGGGGGGGAGTATAACCATTCACCCCTTACAAAGATTCAGATATTTTTCTAGGTTAGGTTTATCCTAAATTACCCAGACCCTACATCCTTTTTTCCTTAGGGTTAGCAATCATGCATATATAGCAATTGTTAAATCAAATTTATTAAAACTTTTGTCTATGGATGTTATCTTTTTTATGTAGGCTGACTTAGAAGGTGCAATGCCAGAGGTAACCGTGAATTTGGCTGTTCCGCCAGACATACCCCCGCTGGAGAACCTCATCATACACCCCTGTGTAGCAGCAACAGATCCCCTGAATCTACAACCAGGTAAGTAAATCTGCCAAGGAAATATACGTTTCATCTTATCCCATCACTTAATTTATTAGTACAAGGCAAGGTATTAAAACAAAAATGAATTATTTAATTTTTTTCTTGTTTATGTTGTATATAAATTTGCTTTGCCTGTTTTATATTAGAAACAACTTTTGCTCATCTGCTCATCTCTTATCCTAATTTCAATTTCAGGCGAGGTGACTTCTGTAGTACGAAAGTTTCATTTCAACCCTCCCAGCGAAATGTTCATCCTTTGCCACTACACTGCATCAGCTCCCTCAGCTGACCAAAGTAGTACAGTCACATCTCCTAGCAGACCCCCATCAGTAACCATGGCGAGATCTGCCACACCCACCTCTGTTTCAAGGTCAACAAACTATTCATCGGGACTGGAGACCCCAACAAGAGGGTCGATGACCCATCGAGGGGTAATAACGCCCTCTTCAGAGAGGTCATCCTCCCCGACCCCATCCCAGCTGTCCTTCCAAGCTCTAGCCACACCCTCCGAGTTGCCAATCAAAGCTGCTTATGAGATGACGGGGGATGAGAGGCAGGTGCAAGTCAAACTCAGGCTCAAGCTCAGTGGAAGTGTGAAGAACTCCTTTGAATACTTTGAAGTTCAGATTCCTTTTTTTAATAGGTAAGCTTTGTGTATTCTTGTTCCAGTTAAACCAGGCGCGGATCCAGGATTTCTTAGGGGGGGGGGCCCACTTTTTTTTTTTTTGGTCCCAAAAAAAATTGTAACGACTCAGCCAGCCGCTAAATAAGCAGGGGGGGGGGGGGGGGGGAAGAGGACACTTTTTTTTTTGGTCTCGAAATTTGAAAAATTGACATTTTGTTCCGGGGGGGGGGGGGGGGGGGGGGGGGGGGGGAGGTCACCTTTTTTAGGTCAGCCATTGGCATATTTTTTTTTTTTTTTTTTAAATTAAAAAAACAAACAAAAACAAAACAAAATCACAGAAAAGGGGGGGGGGGGGGTTTGCTCCGAAATACACACATAAAAAACCGAAGGGGGAGAGTCACCCCTTAACCCCCTCCACCCCCCCCCTTCCGTACGTGCCTACTCGTCTGAAAATAGTTGAGCATCTAAGGGCCCGCCTTAGGGCCTTAGGTGGAATCCAGGGGGCAGAGCCCTTAGGATTTTAGGCATTTTAATCATGGTCAGATGAGCATATTTTGATACCCCATTATAATGTGACACTGTCAGTTAACTATTTTTTCTTTCTTGCTCTCTTTCTTTCTATTTCTCTTTAAAATACTTTTTCAAAGAAAGTGTGGGGGGGGGGGGGCTCGAGGATCCCGATCCCCGCCGTTCCGCGGGCCCTGATATGTAGGCATCTCAAGAAGCATTTTCTTGCCTGGCTGTAAATTTAGGAATTTGTCATTTTCCAACAAACGCATGAAGTGAGGAAAATTATCTCATTTCAGCATTATTTGTAAACCACCGTTATGGAATTCGAAATAAACCACGTTTGAATTCTATTTCTCCAAAGCCCCCCCCCCTCCCCTATCAGTACGCTAGTAGCCCCCCTTACCTTTCATTCTCTTTTTTTTTCTTTCCCTTTCTCTCCTCTTTCACTTTCCCTTCCCTTCCTTATCTCTCTTTTAGGTTTGCTGGGGGGGGGGGGGGACAGGGAGGGGCACGGTCATTTTGGTCCCCAACCCGCTCCACACATTGTTGGCGGGATTAACCGCAACTGATCTCCGCTTCTTTTCTCCCTTTTCTTTTTTCTTCCTATTTTTTGTTCCCTTTTAGCTCTCCTCTTTTCCTTTTCCTTCCTTCTCTCTTTTTTTAGCGGGAACGGGGGGGGGGGGGGGGGGGGAGGCTAGGGTCTTTTGCCCCCCCCCGATCCACAACTTGTTGGCGGGAAAATTGCAACTGATATCCCCTTCTTTTCTTTTCTTCTTCCTATTTTGTCCTTCCCTTTATCTCCTCTTTATCTTTTTTCTTTCCCTTTCCTTCCTTCTCTTTTGTTTTTTTATTGGGGGGGGGGGGGGGAAGAGGGGGGGGGGGCAAGTCCTTCTCCCCCCCCCCCCGATCTCCTTCTTCCCTCTTTTCTTTTCTTCTTCCTCTTCTTTTTTCCCTTTCTCTCCTCTTTCCCTTCTTTTCCTTCTCTCTCTCTCTCTCCTTTTTTTTTTTTTTTTTGCGGGGGGGGGGGGGGGGCCAAGGCACGCTCGGCCCCCTCCTGGATCCGCGCCTGAGTTAAACTACCGGTAGTCTTTAATACAAGATTTTGCTTGAAATAGTGTGTGTTATTCAAGAAATTAACTGTCCAATAAATATCACAAGATTTGTATCACTTATATACTGTAGTTGTATTCATTTGTAATTGAAAGAACAATCATCTTAAATTTTGAGAATTATTTTACCTACAGTGCTGAAAAAGCAAATACGGTAGGGGTTTGCAGGCCAGCATCCAGTGGGCCTACACCTTAAAACCTACTCAAGGGACTTGGTACATGATATTTATTTGATTTTTCTATCTTTTCTTTGCAGAGGTGTGGTGGTAGGAGTAGATGTGAATCCAAGTATAGGCAGTGTGGTCCTGTCACAGGACAGGCACAGACTAGGCTGGAACATAGGCCAGAAGCTTCCTTCAAGGAATCTTGAAGCTAGCCTTCAGGCAAACGTTCAGTTTGGACCTCAAGAGAAAGATGACAACAAGGATTCCTTTTGTGTTGGACTCAATACTTATGCCTCTGTAAGTAATGATGGTTATCTCCTCAAATTTTTGGTTGTTCTGATGGTTATCTGATTGATCTCATCACATTTGATAGCTGATATCAAGACGAGTTGAGCCTGCCTGCCTTATGAAACTGTCAAGGTTGAATAAGATACTTGTAGATGCACACAGGCTGATAGGGGCTACAGTAATACATTGTATAATGAAGGAATGAAAGCAGACATCATTATGCCTCCGCCACCGAATTTGAATTTGAATTATCACAACTTTCGTGCCGAAATTGTAAGGTCCGGGGTGGTTCAGGATTTTGGAGGAAAATATATATTTTTTTAATAGGCTAGTTTCCCACAATGATTGTACCTACATGCAATTAAATCGATTCTGACCCCCATATCCCTTTGAAAGGGGCGTAGTGGCAAATATTGTAAAAACTTGAATTATCACAACTTTCGGGCCGAATTAGAAGGTCCGGGGTGGTTCAGCATTTTGGAGGAAAATATATATTTTTTTGATTAGGCTAGTTACCCCACAATGAATGTACATACATGCCATTAGATGAATCCTGACCCCATATCCCTTTGAAAGGGGCGTAGGGGCAAATATTGTGATAATTTGAATAAACACCAATTTCAGGCCGAAATGGTAAGGCCGGGGTGGTTCAGCATTTTTGAGGAAAATATATGTTTTTTTTAATAGGCTAGTTTCCCCACAATGAATGTACATACATGCCATTAGATGGATCCTGACCCCCATATCCCTTTGAAAGGGGCGTAGGGGCAAATATTGTAAAAATTTGAATTATCACAACTTTCGGGCCGAAATTAGAAGGTCCGGGGTGGTTCAGGATTTTGGAGGAAAATATATATTTTTTTTAATAGGCTAGTTTTCCCACAATGAATGTCCATACATGCCATTAGATGGGTCCTGACCCCCATATCCCTTTGAAAGGGGCGTAGGGGCAAATATTGTAAAATTTGAATTATCACAAATTTCGGGCCGAAATTGTAAGGGCTGGGGTGGTTCAGCATTTTGAAGGAAAAAATTATATTTTTTGATTAGGCTAGTTACCCCACAATGAATGTAGATACATGCCATTAGATGGATCCTGACCCCCATATCCCTTTGAAAGGGGCGTAGGGGCAAATATTGTGATAATTTGAATTATCACAACTTTCGGGCCGAAATTGTAAGGGCCGGGGTGGTTCAGCATTTTGGAGGAAAATATTATATTTTGTGAATAGGCTAGTTTCCCCACAATGAATGTCCATACATGCCATTAGATGGATCTTGACCCCCATATCCCTTTGAAAGGGGCGTAGGGGCAAATATTGTGATAATTTGAATTATCACAACTTTCGGGCCGAAATTAGAAGGTCCGGGGTGGTTTAGCATTTTGGAGGAAAATATATATTTTTTTTATTAGGCTAGTTACCCCACAATGAATGTACATACATGCCATTAGATGAATCCTGACCCCCATATCCCTTTGAAAGGGGCGTAGGGGCAAATATTGTGATAATTTGAATAAACACCAATTTCAGGCCGAAATGGTAAGGGCGGGGTGGTTCAGGATTTTGGAGGAAAATATATATTTTTATGCCTCCGCCACCGAAGGTGGTGCCGGAGGCATCATGTTTTCGGGTTGTCCGTCCGTACGTCCGTCCGTCCGTCGTACCGTACGTCCGTCCGTCCGTCCCTTTGACCGTTATCACAATATCTCAAGAACCATTTAAGATTTAAACTTAAGACTCGGGAATAGTATTTATCACCATAGGAAGACGATCTGATTAGATTTTGGAGTACGTAGGTCAAAGGTCACAGGTCACAGAGGTCAACTTATGAAATTCCTTGTATTGAGTTTGTTAGCGCGATATCTCAAGAACCATTTGAGATTTAAACTTCAAACTTAAGGATAGTATGTATCACCATAGGAAGACGATCTGATTAGATTTTGGAGCACGTATGTCAAAGGTCAAGGGTCACAGAGGTCAACTTATGAAATTCCATACATTGAGATTGTTATCATGATATCTCAAGAACCACTGGAGATTTAAACTTCAAACTTAGTGATAGTGTGTATCACTATAGGAAAACAATCTGATTAGATTTTGGAGCACGTATGTCAAAGGTCAAGGGTCACAGAGGTCAACTTATGAAATTCCATACATTGAGATTGTTATCATGATATCTCAAGAACCACTGGAGATTTAAACTTCAAACTTAGTGATAGTGTGTATCACTATAGGAAAACAATCTGATTAGATTTTGGAGCACGTAGGTCAAAGGTCAAGGGTCACAGAGGTCAACTTATGAAATTCCATACATTGAGATTGTTATCATGATATCTCAAGAACCACTGGAGATGTAAAAAACTTCAAACTTAATGATAGTGTGTATCACCATAGGAAGACAATCTGATTAGATTTTGGACCACGTAGGTCAAAGGTCAAAGGCCACAGCGCACATTAAGAATGCAAAAACAGCTTGTGATCGCGTTATCTCAAGAACCGATTGATGGATTCATGCCAAAATTAGGTCATGTTTGTTACTTGCAGAGCCAATGAACTGAGTAGATTCTTGGTTCATAAGGTCAAAGGTCAAAGGTCATGGGCCCATTATGTATGCAAAAATAGCTTGTGAACGCATTCTCATTAGAAGTGACAGATGGATTACTATTTAACTCAGAACATCTTGCAGAGCCAATGAACTGAGTAGATTTTATGGTCATGAGGTCAAAGATCAAAGGGTCATATATGTATATGAGAAATTGCTTGTAATCACAATATTCTGAGAACCTGTCAATGGATTACCATTGAACGTGAATTCAATTTTTTTTTCTGTTTTGGTTTGTAAAATTGCTCTATAACGGAGGCATCATTTTCGACTGTGCGCAGTCGAATTCCATCTAGTTTTTAATAGGCTAGTTTCCCCACAATGATTGTACCTACATGCAATTAAATCGATTCTGACCCCCATATCCCTTTGAAAGGGGCGTAGTGGCAAATATTGTAAAAACTTGAATTATCACAACTTTCGGGCCGAAATTGTAAGGGCCGGGGTGGTTCAGCATTTTGGAGGAAAATATTTTTTTTTTAATAGGCTAGTTTCCCCACAATGAATGTACATACATGCCATTAGATGGATCCTGACCCCCATATCCCTTTGAAAGGGGCGTAGGGGCAAATATTGTAAAAATTTGAATTATCACAACTTTCGGGCCGAAATTAGAAGGTCCGGGGTGGTTCAGCATTTTGGAGGAAAATATATATTTTTTTTAATAGGTTAGTTTCCCCACAATGAATGTCCATACATTGCATTAGATGGATATTGACCCCCATATCCCTTTGAAAGGGGCGTAGGGGCAAATATTGTGATAATTTGAATAAACACCAATTTCAGGCCGAAATGGTAAGGGCCGGGGTGGTTCAGGATTTGGAGGAAAATAATAATTTTTTTAATACGCTAGTTTCTTCACAATGAATGTACCTACATGCCATTAGATGGATCTTGAACCCATATCCCTTTGAAAGGGGCATAGGGGCAAATATTGTGATAATTTGAATTATCACAACTTTCGGGCCGAAATTGTAAGGGCCGGGGTGGTTCAGCATTTTGGAGGAAAATATATATTTTTTTTTAATAGGCTAGTTTCCCCACAATGAATGTACATACATGCCATGAGATGGATCCTGACCCCCATATCCCTTTGAAAGGGGCGTAGGGGCAAATATTGTAAAAATTTGAATTATCACAACTTTCGGGCCGAAATTAGAAGGTCCGGGTGGTTCAGCATTTTGGAGGAAAATATATATTTTTGTGATTAGGCTAGTTACCCCACAATGAATGTACATACATGCAATTAGATGAATCCTGACCCCCATATCCCTTTGAAAGGGGCGTAGGGGCAAATATTGTGATAATTTGAACAAACACCAATTTCAGGCCGAAATGGTAAGGGCCGGGGTGGTTCAGCATTTTGGAGGAAAATATTATATTTTTTGATTAGGCTAGTTACCCCACAATGAATGTAGATACATGCCATTAGATGGATCCTGACCCCCATATCCCTTTGAAAGGGGCGTAGGGCAAATATTGGGAATTTGAATTATCACAACTTTCGGGCCGAAATTGTAAGGGCCGGGGTGGTTCAGCATTTTGGAGGAAAATATTTTTTTTTTTAATAGGCTAGTTTCCCCACAATGAATGTACATACATGCCATTAGATGGATCCTGACCCCCCCATATCACTTTGAAAGGGGCGTAGGGGCAAATATTGTAAAAATTTGAATTATCACAACTTTCGGGCCGAAATTAGAAGGTCCGGGGTGGTTCAGCATTTTGGAGGAAAATATATATTTTTTTAATAGGTTAGTTTCCCCACAATGAATGTCCATACATTGCATTAGATGGATATTGACCCCCATATCCCTTTGAAAGGGGCGTAGGGGCAAATATTGTGATAATTTGAAAGAACACCAATTTCAGGCCGAAATGGTAAGGGCCGGGGTGGTTCAGGATTTGGAGGAAAATATATAATTTTTTTAATACGCTAGTTTCTTCACAATGAATGTACCTACATGCCATTAGATGGATCTTGAACCCATATCCCTTTGAAAGGGGCATAGGGGCAAATATTGTGATAATTTGAATTATCACAACTTTCGGGCCGAAATTGTAAGGGCCGGGGTGGTTCAGCATTTTGGAGGAAAATATATATTTTTTTAATAGGCTAGTTTCCCCACAATGAATGTACATACATGCCATTAGATGGATCCTGACCCCCATATCCCTTTGAAAGTAGGGGCAAATATTGTAAAAATTTGAATTATCACAACTTTCGGGCCGAAATTAGAAGGTCCGAGGAGGTTCAGCATTTTGGAGGAAAATATATATTTTTTTAATAGGTTAGTTTCCCCACAATGAATGTCCATACATGCATTAGATGGATATTGACCCCCATATCCCTTTGAAAGGGGCGTAGGGGCAAATAATGTGATAATTTGAATAAACACCAATTTCAGGCCGAAATGGTAAGGGCGGGGTGGTTCAGGATTTTGGAGGAAAATATATAATTTTTTTAATAGGCTAGTTTCTTCACAATGAATGTACCTACATGCCATTAGATGGATCTGAACCCATATCCCTTTGAAAGGGGCATAGGGGCAAATATTGTGATAATTTGAATAAACACCAATTTCGTGCCAAAATGGTAAGGGCCGGGGTGGTT